AATACTGGCAAAAATTCTGAAGGAATTTAATTTTACAATAATTCGACAAATCAAAACGAAATCAAACCGTAAAATCACAACAAAAGCGTCTCTGAGTGACAGTTAAAAATCAAATTTTATTATTGTCAGATATTGACATTTGCATTGTTAATATTGACAGTTTTAATATTTTGCGCCTCTGCATCTTGGAGGAAAAACTATTTTTAATGAACTGTCATTTCCATTTAAGTTTCCCAGCCATGGTATTTGTATATAGTAAATATGTGTTGATTGTTGTTGTCATTGTTACCGATCGGCCCTATGACAGATATCGCAAATTTGTACCGACGACTCTCGGTATCTCTACCGGGAGGTATCTCTACACGAATACGTATCGAGAGCTGTCGCAACTTACCGATACCGACGATTGTCGACGTCGTGTACAGAATAGCACCCGACGGTATCGGTAAGACCGACGTATTTGTATATAGTAAACATGTGTTAATTGTTGTCATAGTTACCGATCGGTCCTATGGCAGATTTCGCAAATTTGTACCGACGAAAATCGGTATCTCTACCGTGCCCTTGTCAACCTCACGGTAGAGATACCGAGAGTCGTCGGTACAAATTTGCGATATCTGTCATAGGGCCGATCGGTAACTATGACAACAACAATCAACACGACGCTCATTGGCCGTATGTACCGATAGCTGTCGGTAACTTGCCGATACCGACGATTGTACAGAACAGCGCCCCAGGTGTCCTGCCCATTGCCACTCTGTGGATGACATCTATTACCTGGGTCTTTTGTCGTATCCACTCTATTCGTTTAGGGCATAGATTTAGTAAGAACAGATATCACATTAGACATTTTAACCCGATCAAACAATCGGAGGTTGACTACGTACTGTAAAAACCAACTGAGATAGAGAAGGCGACATTGCCACATCTCAAATTTGCGCCTATCTACTTAGTTTAATTTGCAGAAAAGGTGACTTTAAAACCTTTACCGGATATCAATAAATCTCAATTTCTTAATTAAATTAATAGTTTATTTTTAAAGAAGCATGCTTAATAATATGTTATTAACCAGAGGATATATGCGTTACTATTAAAGGACATGTTTACTGTTTAATGTGCTAACGTCTAGAACTATTGGCAACGTCGCTGCTAGTCTTACAGAATGAAATGAGCCGTCCGTCCCACCACCCCTCGCGACGGCCCTTGGTCCGTTATAGCGTACTACGTTTAGCTTACGGTATGTTTGAAGTCGGAATCAAGTCTGAAGTGAACTTTTCAGTGTTTTTCAGTAGTTTTTGCTTTTGTTTAACGTACTTTTGAATCTGCGAATTTTCAATATGGTACGACAGTGTCAAATGTGTGGAAAAATAAGCTCAAATTACCCGAATTTGTCTCTTCACAGGTAGGTATTGTTTCCGCCGCGCCGTAATCGCCGTACATAGGCGTCCCACAAGGGAGCCTCTCACAATTAAAATAATTTCTAATTATATTTGTTGAATTTTGAGCTATTAAAACAAGAACGTAGTAGCCGGTAATTGAATTATAATTCGTCTCAATTACTACTTAACTGTTGTAGATCATAACAAATTTGAATATAAACGTTGCATTTGAAACTTTATTATAAGCCAGAAAGTGACATTTTTTTTCTTAAAATTGCATCATATTTTGGTCATTATATACGATATTCTAAAGGAATTTTGCTCAACATATAAACAAAGGTGTTTACCCGCCCTTTTTACATTTTATTGCATTATTATATCTGCCCCTTCGGCCTCGTTTAAACAATTTTTACCACCGTACAAATACCTCTTTCTAGAGTTATTTGTACGGTGTGTTTATATTTTTTTAGAATGGGACGAACTGGAAATAATTCTTAGGCTACTAGTTTTATACATACCTATATAATAGAGTGACCCAGGCCTCCAAAAAAGCTTTTTACCTTTTACGTTTTAGGTTTGTAATTTTTATTTCAATTTTTTACATAAGATGGGGGCCATTGTAACGCACATTTTCAAAATATTTTTGTCAACATACAGGGTGATTATCGGGGTGATTCAAACCGCAATACATATGCTTTATACAGTTCATGAAGATTGGGACATTTAACTAACATTTGATTGTCTGATGAAGCTACCTTTAAAAGTAATGGATTTGTAAATAAACGTAATATTCATTATTATGCGACAGAAATCCCATACTGTAGCACACAGATTTGATACTTTTAATGATAAATTGCCTTCTAACAACAAATGCCTTCTATTGAGAGACTAAAAGGTAATTGCCTCGTATCAGAGCCATCATAATACAAGAAGAAGACCGAAAGAGTCAAATCTTGTCTTATATTTTCAAAAACACAATTTTCTCATTAAATATTGATTTTAGGTATAGGAAGTTATTAATAATACAAGATTAAACAACTATTACATAGTACTTTACAGGAAGCTATCGATTGCGAACTAACTAAATCGTTACTAATTGCTAATTTTAAAAGTTCTTTTAAGATCAAAAAGGTAAAAACTAAAACCTAAATTATCATTTGAGATTAAACGGGAAGTTCTAAATAATGTTGCCTATTCTAAACAAGAAAAATTTATTTATAAGTTTTATAACATCTCTAATTAAATTTGGATGAAAATAACATTTCTGTTTGCTGTAGATAATTTTCTCAGGAAAATACGTAATAAAAATGACTTTTTAAGTAAAAAAAAGTCAAAGGACAAGTTATTCCAAAAGGACTGTCCTTTTCAAAAAGGACAGGTGGCAACCCTAGGTATTTCTGGAATGGAAATTTAATGGCAAATCTACAACTTTAGTTTGAAAATATGTTCCGGCCACCTATGTTTACAAAAATGTCTAAAATGTGCTTTACCATTGCCTCCATATTCTGAAAAAAAATTGAAAGAAAAGTCACCAGCCACAAACCTAATATAGAACTGTTTCGGAAGCCTGAGTCACCCTATAAATATTCAAAAGTAACTGAAAGTTTATATAGAATTAACTGAAAGTTTAAATTAAAAATCGACGTTGGAGCGATTTTCGAAAACTACCTACTAACGTTTCAACATAAGTATATGTGGGATATTAATTATATTATTATATTAGACCTTATAACAAAACGCATCTGACAAAAAAGTGTTAATGTAGTATATTAATATGGAGTAAACATTTTACTAATTACTTTACTTTTACTTTACTAATTAAATTCGTTCCAAAAAACGATACGCCACTGGCCATTAGAACAATCCAAATGCGCCTAGTTGCCGGGGTCGGAAATTTTAGACTTCTCTGTCTCTTCTGTCCTTGTTTGACACATTGGAATGTTTGATACACTACCAACGAGTATTTATGAATGAGATGTTCGGTCTATATTTATAATGTCTTTGGTTTAGGGTCTCTTTTGGATATTTCCAGCATATTTCGTTCCATTGAGCGTTGTCCTACCTGCAGTTTCCTTATGATGTCCGTTTTAAGTATCCAGGTTTCGCATGCATAGGTCATGACTGGTAGTACACATTGGTCGAATGATTTCTTCTTTAGATAGAGTGGCATTCGAGATTTGAATATGAGTTTCTTCCATAAGTACTCCATGCTAACTTAATTCTTCTGTTGATTTCTGGTAGTAGAGATGTAAATAGAGATTTAAAAAAACTATTAATCATAATACATAGTCGATCTGTTTTTAAACGATTTGCTTATCAAAGAAGAGCATTTAATTTTTATTGATGTTTACAGAATTCACTGAATCAGACACACTAGTTGTTAGTAAATTTTATCTATAATTTAAAATGTCATAAACTATTTTTTTTCTAATCTTTTCTGTTTCTTTGTTTGTAATTATTAAAAAGATACATAAAATAGCGAATCTGTCATATCATTTTTATGGTCCAACATTCTTCAATATTTTATTGGAATAATTATAGGGTAATAAAACTATAGAGATTAATAAATATTATAGGCATTATTTGTTTCTTATATCCATCATTTAAAGACAATGGACAATAATTATTTTTGTTCAATAAAATGTGTAATTTTTAGCCGACCATTTTTTTACCAATAGGTATGGTAGGCTATTAAGATCGGCAAAAAAAAGTTTTTTTTAATTTCACTCAAAATGAGTTATTTGGGTCATAAATGACCTAAATACAAAATATTTTCATGGTGTCTGTCTGTCTGTAACACGATAACTCAAAAACCGCTAAACCAATTTTAACCAAATCTGGAACAAAAATACTGTGGCACCCGAGAATCTGGCTATTAGTTTTTGGTGGTGATGGGGGGTTGGTAAGGGGGTATGTGAGGGGGTTAAAAATTTAAAAAAATTGTAATTCCAAAATTACAGTAGCTAGCGAAACGCGGTTTTCAATTTAAGATTAGGAATAATATTTGCATCAAAATTTGTAATAACATCCAAATCAGTCAAAGTCGCAGTTTTTGAGATAAAAAAATTGCTTTTTATTAACATATTTTAGTATGGGCGGCTGTACGTGCCTCCCGGCGCCAATTTTTTGTAATCGAAATGTATTGAAATAGGCATAAAATGAAATGAATAGTAGTAAAGTAGATATTAGAATCTAGATTAGATATTGTAGCGAAAAGAAGACATTAACTTAAAATAGGGTTGCCAACTTCGAAAATATAAAATAGAGAAAGAGAGAATTAAAAAATCGCCTCAGGCGAAACATTTTTTGAAACCTCGCCCAAATGTTATCAAGAATTTACCCAAAAGTTATGTAAATTGTTGTTTGTAATTTTTTTATAAATTTTATACTCAAAATTTGTTATTTATCAATTTTATTAATCATTGCAGAATATTTCTTTATTTTGAATTTGGTCTGTAAAAAAAGACTTTTTTACGTGAGAAACAAGACAACACAGACGATCAAAAAGAGGAATGTGCTCTGGAATAGAGGACGGTTGGCATCTCTAACTTAAATCTTTAATTACTCTAGTGAATGTAATAATTATTGTTCTTTATTGAATCTGTTTTTTTTTTGCTTTAGGTGCAGCTGGCTGCTTTTCTACACTTCTTCACGACGGTACTATGAATCCTGCCGAAGGTGAGTAAATTATTTATTTTGTTTATTTTTGAAGTCAAACTTCTTTACGCGCGATGGGAGTAAAAAATCAAGGGCGTGACACGACATGGCCTTGACCATTTCTTGGCGCGCTAAGCTAGAAAAGGATCGCTCAAACACCAAAAAACGTTTGATTTAAAGCTAAGAAAAGCGTTATAATAAACTTAATACTGTACCTGGGTACTTATATCCTCTGGTTGTCTGCTAACAAGTAAATTTTCATGTAAATTTTTATCGATAGGTTTGTAATTTCTGAATAACGGTCTAGGTAAAGCGTTTAGCTCATTTGTTAGTTCAGAATTAGAGTTATTAGAGTTAAGCAACTCGCATTTTTATTGGATGACATTGTCATATTTATTTCAAACCTATAAAAAAACTTATAAAAATAACAGCTAAGAAATTTTGAGTTAATTATTTTGTCAATTTTAAATGTGAAAAAGGTGTTTTAAAGTTTTTAGAGTGTAAAAATACGTTCATTTTGTGTTGTGGATTGTGACAGAGTGCTTACTAAGTGCCTACGAAATTGTTTATTAATTATTTTAAAGCAAAATATGGAAGTACTCTGAAATGAATGCCGGCAAAAGGTGATGCTGGGAACTGCTGTTCTTAAAAATGCATTATCCGAGTATTTAATACGATTTATATAGTTAATTTTCTATACTGCATACATATAAGGTGTTTAAATAAATAAACTAAATAATGAACGTTTTGCATCCGGCAACCAATAATGCATGTGTGTGTGTATTATTGGTTGCCGGATAAGGACTAATAACCATGACAAGGACTACAATGACGTCACAAAGCGGGGAGTTTTCGCATGCACCTCCCAAGTAGCAAATTTTATTTTATAAAGGTTGTATAAACAGCTATGTGATAATTTTTATAGGATACCTCAATTCATATAACGTGCTATATGACCGTAATATGATAGCTTTACAACCAAAAAAGGCCCATTTTTATACAACCGTTTAGTAGTATAGAAGTTCTATAAAAAGGGTATACAAGCAGACCTTGCAGTTGAACATTGTCCCTTTTGGAACCACTTTTAGTGCGAAGCACAGATTAGGTATACTATATGTATACAGATAAAAACCTTAACCCTAATTCGTGGTACGAAAATTGTTTTTTATGACGATGAGCAAACGAGTAAAATTTCCTGTGCGCAAAAATATATATATATAAATTCGGGTCAGAACGTCCTACGACGTTGTCCGATGCCTAACTTGTGCGATTTTCCCATCGATCTTCGGTCAGATTTTTCTCGCTCATCGACCTTCTTATTCCTTCCATCCATGTTTTCTTGGGACGTCCTCTCTTTCGTTTACCAGGTGGTATCCAATGAATGACCTGTTTTGGAATTCTTTCATTGTGCATTCTCTGAACTTGGCCGTACCATATTAATTATTTTTGTTCTATATCATTTACTATTGCTCTCTCTATTCCCATCTGTTGTCTAATGTCTTCATTTCTGATCTTATCCCTCCTTGAAATTCTCATTGCTCTTCTAATCGCGTCCATTTCTGTTGTCTCTAATTTCCTTTTATTCCTTTCAGTGAGTCGCCATGTTTCACATCCATAGAGTAATATGCTTTTAACTAGTGTCCCGTATATATTATTTCCTGTTTTTTTGTAATTTCAGTGCTCCATAGAATGCCATTTATGCATCTGATAACTCTTCGTGCCTGTATTACTCTGTTGTTTATTTCTCTATCGTCCGTTCCATCTCCTGTAAATATCGATCCCAGGTACCTGTAATCTTCACATGCCCCAATTTCCATATTATTGTCTAAAATAAGATTTTCTGTATTAGCTCCAATTGGAAGGCATTTTGTTTTTTCTGTATTTACTGTGAAACCCCATTTAGCATATTCTTCAATTATTTTCCGCACCATATATTCCATGTCATCTTTGTCGTTTGCAATTATGGCCTGGTCGTCTGCAAATTGCAAGGTGTATAGGCATATGTCATTTAGTTCTATACCCATTCCGTTACATTTTCTTTTCCATAGATGTAAAGCCTTGCGCAAAAATAAACTGGCGTAAAATAACAATAAACAGCGTAATAGAGAGATATCGGTAAACCGAATAGCGTGCATGGACGTTAAAAACGCCAGGTGTTATTTCCTTTACGTGAGGTGGTATTAACTCTCTTCATTTATAGTTATCGGATCGGAAAGAATTCTGTTCGCGTCGCGTCCGCTATTTAAACTTAACCTAACTTTGAATTTAAAACTTTGAAATTGTTTTGTTTACTAGGTATTTTAAAACTAAAGGGTTATTTCCAGTGCTTTATTGTTCAACGTCTGCCAGTAGGTTTAGGGCAACAAATTCTCTTAGAAGGGCTAAGTCATTATCTGCTGTAAACCTAAGCCTCTTTATAGGTTCTTTAATAATGGAAGAGGTGGAATCCATATTTTGGGCCATATTTATATAATTAAAACTAATCCCAGCTACTTAAATACCAAATTACCCAATAAAACTAAAGTAATAATTCAAAACAATTCAAACATAACCTAAAATAAAAGATCTCGCCTGCCGGCCCCGGTTGTCAAATACCCGCACATGCTCATTTAAGCAATTTTTAAACGTTATTTAGAAATAGCGCTTGGTGTAATTGATCCGCAAATTACGTCAGGCGATAACGTTATTAGCGGGCGTTGCGTTAAAAATTGACTCGCGCATATCGTAACTGTCAAAATAAGGTACGCGTAAATACTGCATGATACTATTCGGTTTTCCGATATCTCTCTAATAACTGGGCCGGTCAGACCTGTGCACAATTTTAGAGGCTATAAGTGGGCGTGCTATGTGCGCAAACTAGTAACCTAACGAGTGCCCGATTCCGAAAATTGGAACCACGAAAAACAATAAAGAAAAAACAAAGTTTATAATCCGTATAATATATGGCGCGAAGTGTACAAGGTAGCTTAATAGCCGTAAAAAACTCATCGCAACTTTATTAGAATATTTTGAACGCGAAAGCGGTAGTAGTGGCTCTTTAGGTGCTTAAGTGCTGGTAAAGAAGTGAGTTTTGTTGATGTAAATAATAAGTGTTTATATATTTTATTTTTGTTTCCTAAAATATTTTCATTAAAAGAAAATATGTTAAAGTGGGCAACGCTGTGCCGGCGAAGCTATTTGGTATCGCCTTTGGGTTGAGTTTGCATCTTCAGAAATATTTATAAGACAAAATTAATTTTAAATATGACTTTTGACTTCTTTGGCAGTATGTAGAAATAAAGGAATCTTTTTGAAATTTTAACTACTATTATTATTGGACGTCATATACAGGATTTGTTTTCGTTTAGACCTTGAACTACATTTTTACTTAAATTATAGTAATTTCACTTAAAATGTCATTCAACTAATTTTTCAAATTAGTTAGGAAGAGCGTGAACAATACTAAAATACGAGCTGAATTATGCATTTATTTTTTTATGGAGGAATTCGAATTTTTACATTGCAAATGGTTATGTTGAACGTGTTATATCAGTTTTTTTTTGTACATTTGGAAGGATAACCAAGTTAAAACAAATTTTCTCTAAAGCTTGGTTTACACATAACGTTTTACCTGTCAGTCTTACCTGTTCAGTCAAAACCTATCAATTAAATCCTTGTGTGTATGGAAGTATAAATATGGAAGAAGAAAAATGTACAGGGTGGGTCAAATTCAACGCTTTGAAATGGAAACACTCTTTTCTATAGCAGATAGACAAAAACTAATATCGGTGTCTGGAGCTCAATTTTTGTCAAAAACATGTAGCGTTTTTTTTATAAATATTACCACTGCGAACGGCAGCTTTTCATCGGAGAGCAGTCGTGGATAAGGTATTTCACTGGAAAGAAAACTAATTAATAACAATAAACAAAAAACAATAGATATTGGGCGCCAGGCATGTACAGAGAAAGAAAATACAGTTGTATATTACTTAAAACTAATGACTATATTTATTCAAGATGGACTGTGATGGTAAATAACATTGTACAATTTTAATAATTATTATAGTAGTTATATGTCAACAAAAGTGGTGTTAAGAATTGTACTAAATATCTATGAAAACAATACCATTACAAGACGTAATGTAATGAAACCTAAGATATAAATAATATTTTAAATATTAAATCGACATGAATGTGCTTAACAATCTAACCACTAAACATAGTCTGTACGATATTACTTAAGATGTACGTTATTGTTTAAGACTGAAAATGTGTTAAATGTTAAATGTAAGCTAAAACTTAAATCTAAACTTAGCTGTTCTTTATATAATCTTGCTTCAAACAGTAACAGCGTGAGGTGGGCACGCATCTCTGTACTCGGCCATCCAATACAACAAAAGGGGCCAGAATGAGGACACCATGAATTGGAACAGCCGTAACTACTAACTAGCTTATGGATGGGAACGAAGCAGCATGTGGCTCAAGCTACATCCACGCTGGGGCACTTTATATGCAAGAAAAATCATTCCTACTGGGGACACTCGTCCACAGGACATCCGTACATAGGATAATGGTACATGGGAACACTACCCGTACCTTGGACCATAACTTAGGACTGTAACCTTGGAAATAGTCCGTACCTTGGACCCTAAAAATACGAAACTCTTGTTTAAAATCAAACAAGGTCTAATAAACAAAATGAACCTACCTCGAATTACTTCCGAGGGCTCACTAAATAACAAAGAACATGTCCTTTCTTCCATGTGACATTCTGGAGGACAAAAGAAAAGGGACATGAAAGGGACGCCAACGTGCCAGCAAAATACAAATACAAGTTAGGTTGGGACATCCAAAACTCTACCCTAAAAATATGCAGTAATAATATCGAATCTAAAAGGATAATATTTCATATTTACCTGTTGCTTTGAAATAGCAGCTGATTCAAATTAAACAGCAAGATTTAAATAATCACCATTTCTAAAAGCCGGGATGGTTAGGTTAGGCTACAGAGCGCTAAAAGCAAAAGTGAGGTTAAGCACGGAGAGAGTTGACAGAAGCGATGTTGACAGCGCCTCCTCAGAGCGATAACAGGGTTGTGTCAAACGATACCAGGGTTGGCGACTAGGGAACGTAAAAATTACGCCAAGTGCGTCAATTAAATTATCTGTTTTATAAACATATTTATTTATACATAAAGATAAATAAACTTTTTATAGTATAATAACAAAAAATAACAGTGTTTATTTCACCCACCTACCAATTTTAAATGCAGAAGAACTGACTGTTGCAGGAAACAATCGGCCAATTTTTTTAAAGGGCATTAAAAATCTCATTTTCAAAAAAACTGCCTAATTGCAATAACAAAGTGAATATCCAAGCAAAGAAGACTTTACGAGAATCATGATCCTGAAGCATCCAAATCAAAGTCCAGTTTTAATCCTAAAACAAAAGTAAAATAGGTATATAAATAAAGTTTCTGGTTACTGTAAACCAGCTATAAACTACCTACCTAAAAAATGAAAAAAATTAATTGTATTAATTTGTTATGTTAAGAGAGGTTCGAAATATTTTTGACACTACTACTTCTACTTTTTTCTTAATAAGATGATATAACATATATATGTTATGACAATATAACTACTTACTTTTATTTTACCGGGTGTCTTTAACATATCTATAGAAAGGGGGCACCAATACATATATATGATACTGGCTCCTGCAGCAAATAAAATAACAAATATATATAACCTACAATTATAAGTAACAAAATATAAATACCTATATGGAACAAAGGAATTTGTTCCCTATCCATATTCGTAAGTCAATAAAATGGAGAGTTTAGAAAAAAAGGTAAATCACCAAAAGAAAAATTAACAAACATGACGAATTGTCATGATGTTGTCATCTTGGTTGTCATGATGACGAAAACGAAAGGCGATTGTTCTAATTTCTATTTAGAAATTACGTTTTATATGGCTGCTTCTTTCTCTCTTGTTATATTAGAATGAGATAGTGGGCCCAATAGACGCAATGCACAGATCAACATAAATAGAACGAAATTTTGCGTTCTGAGTTGCGCTACGGGAACGTTGTCCCTCTCTTTGCCATTTAATTTTCCAGTCTCTTTTTATTTGTTTGTCTATGCATCTATCAAAGAATAAATTCGAAATTATATTAGACCTTACCATAGAAACGCCTTTTGATTTGATTGGTGCTTCCAAAAAAATTCAACCATATTTTCGAGTTTTTTTAATTTTCTCTAAAACGGTATGGAAAAATGGAAATGGTATGGAAATTTGGAAAAACATAAACGGGATTAACCAGTTTAGAACGAGCAAATTTTTTTACGAAGAATGTATTTTTCTCAAAATGTCGATAATAAAAAAGTTTTTCCTCTTCTAAAGACAATTATTAAATCAAAATGAATGAAAAACAAAACAAAAATAGAAATACGATATTTATTTATTTACTAATATTGTCTAGGAGTTTATTTTTATTCTTCTCCCATGTGGATAATCCAAGGACACGCTCAAATACTATTGTTTACTCGTTTTCTAATAATAAAAACTATTTCAATAACGATTTTGTTGTTGCTTGCAGTGGTCAAACAGAGAATGCAGATGGTCAATTCCCCGTACAGATCCGTATTCAGTTGTATATTGAACATATATCGGACGGAGGGTGCCATGGCCTTCTACAGATCGTATACAACCCAACTCACCATGAACATACCCTTCCAAAGCATCCATTTTATGGTGTACGAATTCGCACAGAAGGTAAGGATTATAAGTAAAAAACCAATGAATCAAACGACTTTGAGACTGTTTAGCCATCGTTTACCGAGTTTCAGGGTGTGTCTGAGATCAGTTCATATCGTTTAGAAAATTTTAATTACGTTCCTATAGGCTTGGCGCATTCTCCGCCGGTGCTGCCACCATCGAAGAATATCGTAAACAACTGATATATACAAATACACGGGTTTAAATAGAGAATATACGAAAAATGTATTATATAATTATTCTAAAAGTGTTAAGGATGATTCACGGTACACCGGACCGTACCCGAGACGGGCACGTTCTGTGAAGTAGACACCGAGCCACGTCCGGGCCTTCAATATATGCAACACCGAGTGGACAACGGGGATCATGTCCGTGCCGATTATATTCTAGAAAACAGTGTTGCCGCAGTGGTACATTTGTACCAAATTTGATACTTTTAATTCTATTTGGTACAGTGGTACTACATTTTCAAATCCAGGATGATTTGGTACAATAATTATTTCCCACGCGCACCGAAAATGAATAGATATTTAATAATTATTGTCGTTGATATTGCATTAAACGCGCTTACCGATACCATTCGGAGACAATCCGCATTAATTAACGACGTATTATAAACGTTGTAATGTCTATAGGGTTGCCTATATTAAATAACCCGAAGAAAAAACTTGAAAATTTGCTGTTTCTAACATGCTTCTATATTTGCGTTTTTTTTTAAATAAAATTTAAGTTTTCCAAGGATTGTGTGTAGTATTAGAATTACTTAGATTTCTTCAACCTATACATACTTATAATTGGGTTTTCTGAATTTCTATTTCATGTTTTTCGTCTCGATTTGTGTCTTTCTCCAGGAAGTTTTTTTATGTAGAAATTTATGAAGAAATTCACAACGACCAAACCGGTTAAAGTCATTTGCAGATGTATTTTGTTGTGTTTTAAAAAATTGTACCAAAGTGGTACATTTTTAGTTTATAATGTGGTACGCGCTAAAAGTTGGGTGCGGCAACACTGCTAGAAAACAGTCGCTATAGGCCCGTAGACGAACGAAGTATTTAGCCGCGGCGGCTCATTTATGTTTGCCGCAACGGGGCCGGAACGTAGCGGATCCGAGGAAAAATGTACACCGACATTTCTTGGACGGGGCACGGACGCGTTCCGGCGAAGCTCGGACCGTGCTCGGCTTAGCATGAATGTGTAAGTATAAATAACATTTGACAATGTTTGGCCGTGCCTTCACCGTCGCACGGCTCCGGCCCGTCACGGTGTACCGTGAATCATCCTTAAATCGTTATAAATAAAAAAGTACTTTCACTAAACATTATCTTTTAAGTAAGAATTTTACATAGAATCTTTCAAGTCCTCGGTGGCCGCGTGGTTAAAGCATTAGGACTTTACGCTGCTATGACGTTGCAGCTGTAGTAAGGCAGGTTCGAATCCTAGTCAAGGCAGTATAATTTTTAAAAATTCAACAACAAATGACGGACAAAAGGGACACAAATTTTGAACTTAATTGGGCATGAATACGAAACTACATTAAAATAATAAGTACAATTTATAAATTATAAGCAGTATTTATAAAATAACCAGTAGCCGAAACCCCAACATTGAATGCATAATTTTAACAGTTTTTTTAGTATTTTATTTAACCGCTTTAAAAAACGTAAGTGTTTACACAATATCAGTCTACTACAATAAGTAAATATTTGGTCTTTTGTAGCGGTTAACTTTAAAAAGTATTAAAACTGTTTGAATTATGCTATTAATGTTGATGTTTCCGCTACTGGTTATTTTATAAATATTGTTTATAATTTATAGATGTACTTATTATTTTAATGTAGCTTTATTAAATCATGGCGCATTGTTTCTAGTAACTGTTATTCCACTTTTGAGGTTATAATCCTTTTGGGGTATGTATATCGATGAGTGCCAGAATTAAAAATTGCCTGTCATTGGTACTTAAACTATAATTACATAAAAAATGTCTATACGTCTGTGGCAGATTCTCTTCACAAGTTATTTTAATTATTAAGCTTAATAAATAAATTTGCCTAACGGACAAAAAATGTTTAACTTTCGGAAAGTATATCTCTTCCCGTCGTCGGAAGCAAGAAAAACACAAAGAGCAAATAAAAAACTATTTAAAATATCTAAATTCAAGAACGCTTTAGTTTTTTTTAAACAGATACGGTCTATAAAAACTGTGAAGCTTTGTTAAAATTACATTACAGACAGATATTTATTTATATTAGACTGTATTAAAAAAGTTTCTTTTATTTTTCATTTAGAGGCTAACGCTTCTTTCATAATCATTTTTGCGTTGTTAAAATCTACTCTCTGCCCTGTGTTCCATGAATGCTGACAAATCTTAGATTTTCGAAAATCGCCCTTTCTTAAATATAATCTTTGTGTTCTTTAATTCGAATATTTAAGGGTCTAGATGTTTCACCAATATAAAATTTATCACATTCGCATCATATTTTGTATATTGCATTTTTTGTTTGTTGTCAGTGTTCATTGGTTTAGTAATTATTTTTTTTATAATTACTTACTGCTTGAAGTTAATAAAATCTGAACTTGCTCAGTTACTAATTTCGGAACGTACTTGAAATTTTATGAGCAATATAAACTGATTTCAGACATACCCTGAAACAGGTATTAGCTAAATAATGATGTTGTCAAGTTGAAAGTTCGTTATACGGACTAATATATTATCACTTTTACATACGAATCTGGTCATCGAAACTGCGTGTTCTGGATTTTAACGTGTAAGGCAGTGATGTAGACAGCTTAATGTCAAATCAAATGTACTAAAAAGAGATAAAAGTTGGGTTGATACATTTCTTCTATGCGGTATTGCCGGATTTTGCATCAAAATTTCAAACCACACAAGTAGGCGTTTACGAATGTTGCATCTAGGGTTGGAACTTTATTTTTCACAATTAGTTACTCATTTTACTACAGCTGAGATTATATTTAGAGCTTAGATATATTATCTTCATTTCAGTAGTATACATGAAAGTTTTTAAAATAATTAATTTTTTTCTACACACATTTTCATACACACTTAAAAATCGGCAACACTGTATTTCGCTGTTTATTTTGTCTCTCTGTCTGTCGACCGGTCATTTCTATTTATCTCTGCCGCACGCTTTAAAATACAGACCACGCATATGAATTAACTAGCGGTGTATATGAATCTGTTTATATTCTTTTCAGGTGACGAACGAACAACGCAAATACAACCCAGCGGCGCACATGTTCAGCGGCGCGATGGCCGGAGCTGTGGCCGCCGCCATCACTACGCCACTGGACGTTTGCAAGACCCTACTCAATACTCAACAGATCACCCAAGCCCAAGGCTTAGTGCAGGGCATGAAACTCATCTACAGGCTTAAGGGACCAGCGGGTTACTTTAGAGGAATGCAAGCCAGGTATTCATTGATATTGTGTAAAAGTTAGTAGTGGGAACTATCGAATGAATACTATCGAAACATTCGATAGTTGCAATTCATTCGAATAATTCGATAGCTAGTAAGAAAACATTCGTCGAAAACTATTCGAATAAAAATTATCGAATAGATGCGTCATCTGCCTTGAAATATTGTATTCTAGTAATTCGGCAGCAAAAACCATTCATTTATAAAATTCATTCATTTATCAAATTCATTTATTCGTCAGGATCGATTTTAATAAAATATAAACTGGATTTTAGTTGTCGTCCGGCGACGTAGGTTTCTTTCCTAGAAACCCGACAGCAGTCGGTGGCAATGCTATGAAAGAAGCCGGCATCTCTTTGATTTTTTGCGGAGTCTAATAAAGATAAGGACACATTATTTTTTTTATTGAGGTGCTAGTATTTACACAGAAAATACATTATGAAGGGCGCTGTTGCCATATATTCGTATTAGTTGGTATTAGCAAAGAATATTTTTCTTTAGCATTAGTTAGTTAGGGATAGTATGTCTATATGTTTTGCATTTTTTTATTAATATTCTGTTGTTACACTGCAATAATACTTTTTATTTTGGATGTAGGAAAATGATTTTTAATGTTTTTAAGCAAAGACTGGTTTAATAAATAATAATAACACTAATAATTTGTTATACAAAATTTAAAATAATTTAATAATATAAACATTTTTTTAAGTAGTATCAAAATATAAACAACAAATAGAAGTCAAAAGTATTTATATTAGATCCTATTTAAAAATAATATAGTCTCTAAATGGCAATGTTGGTTTATTAAATAATAATAATTACAGAACTAATTTGTTATATTAACAACAAATTTTAAAATCACGAAATATAAACATTTATTAATTTTCTAAGCATGCAGTGTAACGGAAGGAAAATAGAAATAAAAAATTAGAAATCAAAATTATTTATATTACTTTTTATTACTTTATATTACTATTTAAAAATAATATTTACTTTTACTGGCATTTACTCTAAAAAATAAATGAAATATTTCTTCGCAAAAAAACTACATGTAAGAGAATTAGCATAAACAAAATACAAACATTGTTAACATTTTTTTTTAATTGGCACGTGTAAAACTTCAATTTAATTTTCTCACCCCAAAATTTGAGTTTGATAACCATTTACTTAACCACATTACTTAAATATGATGATTAAGTTCAACTAATTCATATTATTAAAACATCTAAAATACAAATATGTATTTTTAAAATTAATTGTAAGTTCATCTCATCTCTCTTAAAAATTGCTACTTCTCAAAATTTCCCATTAAAAAATGTAATCTAATCTAACATAATATACCATATAAAATTAAATAATTGAAAGATCGCGATCGGGCTACGGAAAATCACACAAATTTTCGGAAAAATTTTAACCACTTCGCACACAATCGTCAATTAAAAAAAACCACTATTTTACTATTTTAAATATTTTAATAAACGCAAAAATAGCATAGTATTTACAAGGCGAAGTTATAAAAATTTGGACGAATTAATAATGCACTGACGCACACAAAAATCAAACGAATACTAAATTTCATTTATCAAAAGCATTCGATAGTCGTGGCTCGTGGCGCAACGATAACCATTTAGTCGCACGGCGAGGTTGTCACATATGCTTTAGTATACAAATGAATGAATGATTTTATTCGAATAAAACCATTCGATAGTTGAAATCATTCATTCAGTAACCATTCGATAGTCTAATTCATTCGATAGTTCCCATCGCTAGTAAAAGTGAATATTTCTGGTGCTTAAGTTTGATTTTCATGCGTCCGTTATCCGTTGATACGATGGTCTGACGGCGCTCTGATTGGTTATAGGGTTTTCGCGCCACTTTTCATTCGGAAATATTTTACTCCAGCCCTTCAACGAAGAAAGATCGTACGATAACGGACGTGTTGACACTTTTTTGACAAATTTAATGTAACCTTAATAAAAATATAATAGTACGAGAGCTAGCAACGTCGGGAAGATAGGAATTTTAAGAAAGCTAGTTCTTTAATGTATCTTTTGCTATCCTGTCCTGACCAAAGCGCAGGCCGTCTGGCTATCGGTAGACTACTGCGATTCACTACGGCGCATCACATCTGTACAGGGTATCCCATTTTCGTGTGTTTTATGGGATTTCTGGTTTATGAGTAGAGATACAATGATGCGATTTTCACATTATTTTGCTACTTTTTTATGAAACTAAATATGCTACAAATATGTTTGTCCTAGCATCCTTAGTTCTTGAAATACAGGGCGAATTTGTGATGCGCAGTAGTAAACAGATATTGAATACAGATATGATGCGCAGTAGTGAACGTAACGTCTACCGGCACCCTGTTTAGGAGAGCATAGCAAATTATATATTAAAGAAGCAGCTTTCTTAAAATTCTCTTTCGAAAACGTTGCTAGCTCTTAGACTATTAGTTATTTTTTATACAAGACGATAAAATGGTATTTTATCGTCGACCGATAAAATTAATTAATTTCGGGGGACGATAATGCAACTTTATCGTCGTGTATAAAACAATATTTTTATCCATAGCGAGTTACGTTTTAAAAAATATTCAGAAATTGTTATTTCAAGGAATTTATTACGAGTAGAAAAAATATTGTGCTGGGTTGGCGTTGGTTTCTATGTATTTTGACAAATAAATAAAGCTGTCTCTTTAGTTGCCAGTTGTGAGTCAATATTTTTTAATTCTCTTTAGTGTCGATTGCTGATTGAGTTGGAGCCAGAAATGGCTCGGAACGAAATAAGTAAATTACCAACAGATATTCAGGCTGAGGCGACCAACGCCATATCCAAACTACTTCCATTTAAATCCCCAATAACTTATGAAAAGGAATACAAAGATTTTCAAAAATGAAAGCAATTAAAAAACGTGCGAGAAGAAATAAAGTTTTTAACCTATCCTCGCTGTTAAAGTATCATTTAATCTACCCCAAAGAATATACCTAGCTAGAAAAAGAATGGACTCTGCCATACTGAAAAATGGTCCTACAGAAGTGGCGCCATCTATTGAGTAGGGCTTGTTTTAAATGGATCGAAGCGCGGGCTTTTTAAATGAGCGTATTTATTGAATTTTGCTCTAAAATAATTAAATTTGATTATTAAATCTTATTTTTTACACAAATTCAACAATACTAATAACAAGTATCGTTGTGATGTGTAAAAAATAAGATTTAACAGTATAATTTATACAATTATTAAATAAAATTAAAGCCAAACATGTGTAAATATCATTTATTATTTAAAGTTTTTATTTATAAGGCAAATATTTAAACATCGTTTATTATAATAAAACAAAACCAACGTAATACGCCCAAAGTTTTGTAAATGGAGTAAATATAAATAGGTACTTAAATGATGGCAAAAATAAAAGACTTACATTGTATTTTTAGGGCCACAAACAAAAGGAATTGTCTAATAAAAACACATATAACAAATTATAGTTTGAAAAACGTTTTGATCATGGCTGGGAAACTTAAATGGAAATGACAGTTCATTAAAAATAGTTTTTCCTCTAAGATGCAGAGGCGCAAAATATTAAAACTGTCAATATTAACAATGCAAATGTCAATATCTGACAATAATAATATTTGATTTTTAACTGTCACTCAGAGACGCTTTTGTTGTGATTTTACGGTTTGATTTCGTTTTGATTTGTCGAATTATTGTAAAATTAAATTCCTTCAGATTTTTTGCCAGTATTCTGTTTTAGACAATGTTTTTTAAAAATGGTGGGACAATTTGTGTTTTGTAATAACTCTTAATTATTTTTTATCATGGAGTTTAATTGTTGTACACCTGGTTTCCGAAGGATACAATGGTAAGTAAATTAAACATATTTACTTACAGTTATAGATTTTTTAAATTAGTACTGCTAATAAATGCTACTTCCAGAGCAGTTATTTAATTTCTTTTACGGTGCATGTAAGGAATTAAGGACGCGCGTTTTATATTAGCATGATCAGCAGATGATTACATCTGATTTAATTTGTTTTTATTATATCGGGTCCCAAACGGAAACAAACTGGGAATCTTGCCTACACCAAAATTATATATCTAGCCGTTTCCAATTCACTTCAAAGGGAGGAAAATTATGTAAAACTGCCTGCTATTTGTTGAAAACCGCCAAAGATTAAATTATAACTGTAACAACTTAATATATACTATTTCTAGTAGTTTTAATATATTTTTTAATTAATATCCGACATATAAGAACACTTTGTGTGCTTTTAATTCAGTTGATTTATCGTTTATAATATGTTCGACCTAATTAAAAGCACACAAAGTGTCCTTACATGTATGTCTAAATTTATTTTAAATTAACTAAAACAACCCCCCTTCCCCGCACCCCTCTCTTCCATTAGTATTTCTTCCTCCGTCTACCAGAGGCGCCCTTGTATAATAAAATTGAAATGTATTACAAGTTGCCTATCTATTTAATAGTATAAGTCTTTTATTTATGGTTTTGATAATCATTTTTGATGATTGGCGCTATGACAACGACAATATTTTTTGAGAATTTGACAATAGTATGACAATGGCCGTTGGAAACTATGGAAACTACAAAAAAAATCTGATTGAACGCCATCTGGCAATAACTAGTAGCAATTTCTTAACCTAAAAATTAATTGCACTACCACCTAGCGTCCGAGGCTGGAACTATTTTATTTGAAATTGCCGTGGAAACGGTGGAACCGCTTTTGCTATTTCACTTTCCGGCCCCTGATCTACCCTTGCGGTTAAAGTACTATTTTATCTACTATTTTCTTTGAATAAGAAGACTAAGGAAGGAGCATAATGCTACATGGATAGCATTATTAACTTTTCGCTAGCAAGTGACTATATTATATTATACATACCTATACGGGTGTAGTAAACAGATCATTTATGAAATTCACTTAAAACTAACTAATTATAATTATATATTTTTTCTTTTATTTAGTACTTGTCAAAAATTAGATGTCAAAGAATTTTGATACGTGAATTTGACTTAACTGCTTCAGTAGCGTATCGGATGTTTGTGGTAATAAATACTTATTATAACTTATCTATTTTTATTAGAATTATATATTTTTATAACAATTTTAATAACTACCAACGTTTATAGACAACGTAGAATAAAACAACAAATTATTGTGAGTGTACCCTACATCATATTTTTACACGTTTTGAATAAAATTAGAACGGCACTGATAAACCGGAATTTAAAGGTATAGTATACGCCTTTGAATAAGAAGACTAAGGAAGGAGCATAATGCTATCCATGTATTCATGCATGGTGGGCGGAAAAGGCACCATAAAAGCTCTCTAGGGTGGGGATCCTTGACAGTTCTGTTTGACGATTCATTTGACACATTTGAATTTGATTTGAAATTTTGTGGATTTGTCAGTCTTTACGGAGCTTATTTTATGTTATTTATTATTTATTCTACTATTGATAGTTGTATAAAGGTAGTAAATCTAGATGGAAATTGAGGCAGAACTTAAATTAACAGTGACACTATCGCGATTTATCGAAAAAGACTCTAAAATAGTTGGTTGTGTAGCGTGCGGTAGATCTCGGCAAAAATTGAGTGAAATAATGGAACAACTTTTCGCTAGTAAGTGACTATATAATATACATACGTGTAGTAAACCGATCATTTATGAAATTCACTTAAATTAACTAAATTATATATTTTTCTTGCATTTTAGCTTTTATTTATTACTTGTCAAAGATTATATGTCAAAGAATTTAGATACGTTAATTTGACTTACCTGCTTCAGTAGCGTATCGGATGTTTGTGTTAATAAATTAATACTTATTATAACTTATCTATTTTTATTAGAATTATATATTTTTATAACAATTTTAATAACTACTAATATTTATTCACAACGTAAAATAAAACAACAAATTATTGAGTCTACCCCACGTCTACCCTACATCATAGTTTTACATTTTTTAAATAAAATTAGAACGACACTGATAAACCGGAATTTAAGTCGGCCATATTTGAGGCCCATCGCGGTGTACCTAAGATTTTTGATATGCTCCTTCCTTAGTCTTCTTATTCAAAGACTATTTTTGATAGATATAAGGCAATTTTAACAGTTGCTATGGAAAAAAAGTAAAAAAGCGAACTCGTTATGGAAATGAAAACATAAAATGACACCTGTCACAAGCAAATCGTGTATCCGATAAACGGAGGTATGAAAATGCAATAAATTTAAAAACTGCGTAATTTTATATCCAATCGAAGTCTTTAAATTCAACCAATAAAATTAAAATCGTATCGTCGGATAACGGATGCATGAAAATCAAGCTTTAGACAGAGATAAAGTTACAGTTGGTGGTACACAGCAATATAAAACACTAACACACCACAATACACCAAAACACTTTTACTTTTACACTGGACGACTCAAAAGTCTATAATCATCTGCTGATGATGATGCTAACATGGTTAGCGAAACGCGCGTCCAGTGTAAAAGTAAAAGTGTTTTGGTGTATTATGGCGATTTAGAGATAAAGTCTTGTATTATAGATTTTAACCTTTTTTGCAGGATAATGTACCAAATGCCGTCGACGGCCATCTGCTGGTCCACGTACGAATTCTTCAAATATATCCTCGGTACCACGCAGGAAATTCGGATAATGGGCCCAACCACCACCGTTTTAGCTGAGGAAACCAGCCACAAGACGATAGAGAAACCTGAAGGATATTTGGAGAAAAACACGTACAAAACGCGAGATACCAGCGTGCCTAGGGAATTGCCATCGTTATCAGGTTAGTATGGTACTATAAAGTTGTAGAGCGTGCAATTTTACATAATAATAATAATAGCTCCCGTATATAGCGTTTAACGCCTTGGGAGTAGCAAGGTACAGCTTGCTATACTAGAGCCGTTCGGTATACAAGGAAGGTAATGTGGCTAGCACTACGCTTCAACCGCCTATTATTACCTCAGGATTGTGAATCCCAAGTACTCAATAGTCGGCTGATGAAATGCCGGGTGTAGGATTGATGAAATGCCGGGTGTAGGTAGACCCACCACCTTGAGATTGGTAGACGAGAGCCTGTACCTCTACGCCACTGGGCACTTTTCTTATCCAATTTTACATAAAAATCTAAATTAACCGAGATAAGGTGGCTAGAAGCTAGGGGACAGTTTTTATTGAAACATTTGTTTCAAAGTCCTTACCGTTTCTCCAAAAAAGGGAATGTGGGTATTTTTCGCCACTGCAAGAAAATCTACAAAATAAAATAGTTATTTTTTGTAAACACTGTTAATCCAACGGAGACTAATTGTCAGGAGTTAGGTTTACTGATTTAGATTTGCCTAACTTACAAAAAAATGCTTAACGTTTCGGAAAGTTTATCTCTTTCCGTCGTCGGAAGCTAAAAAAATACAAAGAATAAAGAAAAAAACTATTTAAAATATTTAAATGCAACTATTCGAGAACACTTTAGTTTTTTTTAAAACAAATACGTCTATAAAAACCGTTGACGTTCTGTTAAAATGACATTATATCAAGTTAAACTTCAAAATTAACAATTACTATCTGATAACAATTACTTAATAAGGTAAAACCAAAAAGCTTCAAACTTTCTGTATGATTATTTTTAATTTGTTTTTAATTTTTACGTATGTTATGTTTATTTATGTTATGTTCTTTAAAAATCAAAGAAGCGATTGCTATGCAGTACGTCTGTCCGTTCTGTAGCTACGGGATATCCGTGAGAGGGGAAACGATATTCTCTCGATGTTTTTCGTAAAAAATTAGACGACGCGTCCCATCAATAAAAATTCGACAAATTTGCAAGTAGCTAATAAAATGAGTGGGCGGAGCAATTTGCGGTGACGTACTCGTCAAGTCGACGTATAAAATAAATTGCTGTTTATTAAATGTTTTTTGTCCGCATTCCTTTCATAGACACAGATCCAGCAGACGTACTGTACATTACTAACATCTACAGATGCATGAGCAATACATTTATTTTTATTAGATTGTATCAAAGAAGCCTCTTTTATTTTTCTTTTAGAGGCTATCGCTTCTTTCATTGTAATTTTGGCGTTATTAAAATCTATTCTGTGCCCTGTGTCCTGTGTTCCATGAATGCTGACAAATCTTAGATTTGTGAAAGTCGCCATTTCTTAAATAATCTTTATGTTCTTTAATTCGGACATTTAAGGGTCTAGATGTTTCAGCAATATAAAATTTATCGCCATTCAATATTAATTATAATTTTTCTCTGAAATTTGGAAAAAGCACTTTATTTATATTTTTCACCCCTTCGCTTCGAGGGGTGAATTTAAAAAAATCTTAATTGAAATTTATAATTTTCCAAATAAATTGAATAAAAATCTATAATATATAAATCTCTACGTCCTGATTCATTCATCACTGATTCATCAACGCCCAGACCAAACCCTTGACCCTAGAAAGCTGAAATTTTGCACAGGGGTTCCTTTTATGATGTTTATGTGAGATAAGGAAGGATTTTTTAAAATTCATTCCCTAAGGGGGTAAAAAGGAGGGTGGAATATTACAATATTTTTTATTTAAAAAACGGTTAAAAAAAGTTTAAACGCTTAAACACGTATATTTATTTTCTTTTTTTTTACATATTTTAAGATTTTTTAAAAATGTTTTTTTTTGTTTTTGTTTCGAAAGATCTGGTCATTGATTAATCACGATCCTGCTTAAAGCCCTTGATTTTTGGAAAACGGATTGACTTTAGGGTGTAGAGGTTCGATAAGAAGGGATTTTTCGAAACTCGAATTCTAAGGGGGTGAAACCACCCCTCGAATATTAGAATATTTTTCATTTAAAAACCGGTGAGTTTTTCGGAAAAATTCTTAAACACGTATATTTTATTTTGTTGTTTTACATATTTTAATATTTTTTAAAAATTTATACAGGGTGTTTCATAAAATATGACCCTTGAGTAATCACGATTCTGCTTAAACTGCTTGACGTTTAAAGCTGATTTTTGGTAAACGGATTGAGTATGGGGTGTAGAGGTTCGATAAGGAGGGGTTTCTCGAATCTCAAATTCAAAGAGGGTGAAAACGCGAAAAAAAAAATTATGGTTTGGGTAAAACGCTTGGACACGCATAATTTATTTTGTTTTTTTACATATTTTAAAATTTTTTAAAAAATCATACAGGTTGTTTCAAAAAGTTGGGTAATTGATTAACCACGATTCTGCTTAAACTGCTCGACGTAAAAAGCTTATTTTTGGCAAACGAATTTTTTGAAAGTCAAATCCCAACGAGATGAAACTACCCCTCAAATATTACCAAGTTATATAATACTATCGCCATATTGTTTTTTCTCATGCTGACATAAATGTGAGAAAATTTTATCCAGTTTGTATGTTAATGGAAATTCTTGCTTTGCTTTATCATCAACATTACAAATGTTTAATTCGACGCGAACGAAGTCGCGGGTACACGCTAGTGTTAAATATATATGAATTTTTCGGCAACTTATAATTTTTTTTTAAATTTCTGCTATCATCCTCTAGCTTCTAGCCACCCTATCTCGGTTAATTTTGATCTGAACAAAAAAATTATAGAGATCATTTCTATGTCAAATTTGACGCTCCACAACTTTTATTTGAACTTTTTTTCCTAGTTCTTACCGTTTCTCCGAAAATTTACCAAATCTTCATATTTAAAGGCCTATTTTTTTAGACTACTAAGTGTTTTTTTTTTCAGGTGCCGGACTCTATGGTTCGATATCCTTTAACACGATGCAAAAATCGGAATATAGACAGAAAGACTCAATTTTAGATATAGTTCACACATAGTTGTAAATACTCCTCTTTGTAAAAAACATCTGTAAGTATTATTTCACCAGTCGATTAAAAAAAGACATTCATATGACTTAAAACCCCCCAAAAATGTCCGGCTTTGATTTATTTTGAATAAGCTTTGTTTATATTTTGCTTAGAATGAATACAAATTTACTTGACTATATCATAGATATACAGGAAAGAAAAAAAATCAAGAAAAAAAATATATTTTTTTTTCACTGGGTATTTCAGGATTTCTGTTTAAATGAAATATTGATATGATCGAAAAAAAACGATAGTAGGGGTGTCTTGAAAATGAAGTTTGCGGTCATTTTACACGTAGAATTATTTGGAAATGTCATAGATCGTCATTTCTAAGGCATCTTGACGTCGTTTTTTTTTCGACCAATTGGTGTAATTATTTGTTTACAAACTTTTAAAAATAAGTTTACAAATTTAAAATAAAATAAATTGTTTGTTAGTATGTGTGTTTTGACAATACATTTTGATTAATATAATTAAAAAAAAATATTATTTTGTAAATTATTGAAAAAATTGGTTGTAATTTTCTGAAAAGTACAGGGTGGATCAAATTCGACGCTTTTAAATGGAAACACCCTTTCCTATAGGAGATAGGCAAAAACTAATATCTGTGTCTGGAGCTCAATTTTTGTCAAAAACATGATGGTGAAAACCGCATATCGATATCTGTTACCGTTTCGGAGTTACGGAGTGTTTTTCAAAAATATGCATTTTTAACAAATCGCTGTAACTTTTTTGCTATGGAAAATTTTGTATTTTTATGATAACATTTCCAAAGCACTTTTTTACGTAGAATTTAATGGTTTAAGTATAATTTTTTTAAAATTAATAATTTAAGAATTATCAACAGAAAATTTGATTTTTTATATAGGACACCCTGTATATTTTTAATTTATTCAAAAGAATTTAAAATTAGCTTTCCAAAAATATAACACACTTGATATTTTGCTCGATTCCTCTTCGATATTGAGTATATAAAAATTCGCCCGCTTTAAATAAGTAGGCTTTGAACGCCACCGGCTGTAATGCAAAAAAATTCTAGCTGTGAGCATCAATTAAAACGAAAATAATATTTGCTATGAGAGATGCAGAGTTTTATAACAATTTAAAATATATTTAACCAACATCAACACATTTAAACTATATTTAATAATAATAAAAATAAATAGCAAACCAAGACAAGATTTTGCTACAGGCGTTCGACATATGCAAAAAAATTTCTTCTGTTATGGGCAGACGGGGCAGTTTTTGAACATTTCTCGCGGAATTCATTAACTCAATAGGGGTGAAAGATACCCTGCCATAACTGCTAAGCATTTCTAATTCTTGTCTAGATTATACGGAAGAATAAGGAACCTTTATTCTTCCGCAAATATATCCATAGGATTAGATCCATGAGCACTAAGTCAGGCGGACTCGATGGCCAACGGCTGGGATCTTGGTTAGCTATTCAGTTATTCTTGAAATTGGCTGCAAAAATTTGCTGATAACTTCAGCTTCCAGTGGCGGTGCGTCGTCTTGCTGGAAAAATATGTTTTCGAGTTCCACTAAGGGCATATCATCAATAAGGGGCCCAAAGCCTACTAGTTAAAGTAGCGAACTTTTAAAAATTCTGTATTTCGAAGGGGATTATAACAAAATATCAAGTGTGCTATATTTTTGTAGAGGTAACTTTAAATTATTTTTAGTTAATTAAAAATATAGAAAGTGTCCCAAATAAAAAATCAATTTTTCTGTTCATAACTCTTAAATTATTAATTTTAAAAAAATTATACTCACCATTAAATTCTACGTAAAAAGGTGCTTTGGAAATGTTTTCATAGAAATATAAAATTTTCCATAGTAAAAAAGTTACAGCGATTTGTTAAAAATGCACATTTTTGAAAAACACCCCGTAACTCCGAAACGGTAACAGATATTGATGTGCGGTTTTCACCATCATGTTTTTGATGAAAAATGAGCTCCAGACACCGATATTAGTTTTCGTCTATCTCCTATAGAAAAGGGTGTTTCCATTTAAAAGCGTCGAATTTGACCCACCCTGTTCATAATGTTAAATTTCATGAGCTCAAATAATTTAGATTAGATTAATATTGAAGTGTTTTTATCATATATTATAATGCATACCACAAAAATTTAATTGGTATGTTATTATTTGATAGCATTTTGATCGAATATTTCCAAAATCTTCAAGGGTTTATTTAGGACTTTGATTTTTTTTACAGGATATTGCACAATATAAATTTGAGACATATTTTCATATTATTGTTCTGGTTATAATATTTTCTTTGATTGAAACAGAAGCTTTATAACTTTCTAAACTATTTTCGATCACTGTGTATATTGTAAATAAATTCAGGAATTTTCCAAAATTTAGATTGTACAAATTAATCTTTGATTTATTTGACATAAAGAGCATTTTTAAAATGTGGCAATATTTCGAAAAGACAATAAAATTATTATTTGTACAATTACGTAATTTTAAAATTTACTTAAAATTGAATTATCATTATTTTATCTGTCACAGGATCTTATCATTTATTCAAAACATACAGGGTGTTTGATTTTGATTCCAGATTTACCAGCAAAAAATGCGTAGATTTTCACAAAAATTTTTTTGAAAATCTTTTATTTTTCTAATATATTTTTTATGGCATTGGATGAAGAATTATTATTAAAAGTTGTTCTTTGCTTTTTCGTTTGATCTGGGTAAAAAAGGAAAAATATATAGAAAATAACCTTTCAGTTATGATTTACTATTAAAATTTGACGGTTAAATTCAATTTTGTTATTGCCAGAGTTACATTTATAATTCCATACGATGGAATAAAAAACGGCGTCAGAGTTGACTTAGAAATGAAGATAGCTGTCATTTTTTTTGTAAAACTATACAGGGTCCGGCAATAGTGCGTCGGGCATCCTAGAATAAAAAACTTGGGAATTTTAAGTGCAAACCTGAAGTATATACGAGGATGTATTTCAGGAAAATATTTTAACTTTTGTAGGACGGCTGTGGATCGGGATGATTTTTTTTAAGCGGACATCCTGTATATTATTGCATTTTTGCCACTCTATAAAAGTTAAAATATTTTCCTGAAATACACCCTATTACATACATTTGCAAGTTTTATTCTAGGATGCCCGACGCACTATTACCGGAACCCTCTATAGTGAATGTTCGTCATTTCTAAGTCAATTTGACGCCGTTTTTTTTTCGATCATACTGTCTGCACTTATCAGTTTATTTTTTACAGTATTATATATCAAAAAGGTCCGTCTTAAAGAGGATTTTGTTTTTTGGTATAAAAATCCCCAAAGAAATGTTTGATAGTATATTTATATATTTTTGGAACATTTCCATGATAAAGCTATCTTTTTTTTTCACTCAAATAGGTGTAATCTATATGTAGTGTTTACAATGAGTAACAATACCCCAAATTTGGAATTTTTATTTTTTCAATTATTCCAGAAATATTTAATGCTTTTATCTTCTATTTCATTATCTTATCATTGCCTTTATCTCTACTGCACTTCCTCTGCTTTTTTGGCAATCAGTCATTTCAATGTCATTTAAAAATTTAAATTTAGCCCCTCATAATCCTCCGAAAACCCTTATCTTTATTATTCAATTAATCTATTTGGTTATATGCTCATTTTTTACACATTAACACGTCTTATTCATATTAAAAAATATAACTACCATTTCTGATTGCTTCAACATATATGCATATTGCTTGATAATGAAAACGATGTCATAGAAAGCATAGAAATAATGCAATATTTCGATTGGGGCGTGTTTTTAAAGCTGTTGACAGTGACAGCTGGTTGTAAGTAATTTGAGATTCTTGCTAAATGTCAAAACTACAATATAGTAAATATAAATAGTTCTAAATTGCCTGTTTTTGGTTTGAAAACAATTTTTTTTCAAATACAGTCTATCCCTCGAAAGGATACATGACAGTGACATTTGTGTCTGACTAGTTGGACAGACTATGATCTGATTCTGTCAGTCAGTGAAGAATTTCAATGAAATATACATAGTAAAGCTGTAACTGAAGTGTCATTTCTACGCTTACTGTGACGTCGATTTTAATCGATCATATTTATTATTTGTGGGATTAAAATAAGTAATAATCTGTGGTATCATAATCGGGTAGAACGAATAAAAATGGATTAAATAGGGATTATTTCTATTCCGATTATAATCAATGAATGGTTTTGGAATAGGGATTAATGTTATTTGAGTTTAATCTCCAGTTGAATTACAGATTTTGCATAATAGGTACCTAAAATTGACTTAACTGTGCATCTACGTCAAGTGAATCCCTAAAATTAATCCCCATTTCTTGATAAAACAACTAATTTAAATGTTGTCATTTTTTTATTAATTCAAAATGATTCGTTATACATTAAATAAAAATAATTTAATTTGTTATAATTTATTTTATTGAAATTATTTTGTGTAGAAATAGAATCTTAACCATAAAAAATAAAAACGGAGGTAAAAATAATAGTAATAATAGTACATATACTTCATAAAATCATTAAATAATTGTGAAAATAGTAGGGATCGGCAACCTCGCATTTCTTTGTATTTCTATTTCGCAACTGGTTATACTATTGTAGAACTATCTTTATCTTACATGTCAAAATACGTACTACAGATTTAGAATGACTAGGGTTTGTGGTTTCTGGATATTTTTTATTTCTCGAGACACGAGATATCGTGACCAGAATTTCAAAATTTCTCCAGTATTTCCAGAAACTTTGAAATTTTTAATAAAACACGATATATTTTTTTAATTTTTGCTTACTACAAATTAGACTGATAGATGAGATCAATAATTGAATGAAATTGCAAATTTTTAGTTACCATAAATTGCATATATATTAATTAACAAATCAAAACAATAAATTAAACAAAAACTACACCCAGATGGTCTATACAGGGTGCCCCAGAAATAAGTGCAAATATTTTAACTGGTATTATATTTCGGCCCTAGAAACGCGCCTATGAGGTTTTTTTGCGAGACAAAAATGATGAAAATTTTATATTTTTCTTGACATTTTCCGGGAAATTTTAAAAAACTTTTTAGTGCCACTTGTTTATTGATTTTTTACTGTTTATTCACCTCAGGCGTCGAATAAGTTGAAAACCCTCCTGAAAAATCCTTAATAGCCGGTTATCGCCAGCGGTTCTCAAAATGTTGCCATTATTTTTTTTAAATTTTTAATCTTAAATAACTCGCTTATTTTCAATTTATTTTAAAAATGGTACAGAGAAAATATGTTTCTTTTGACCAGATCTAACACACATTAAAATAAAAGAGTAGGGTAGTGAACCCCCCCCCCCAGTAGAACCTTGAATTAAACAAAAAATAATCAGTAAAATTACTAGTCACATTATTATATTTTAAATAATTACAAAATCTTTTTTTAACAAAACAAACATTTTGCTGCCAACTTACAAAAATGCCTTTGACTTTTTTAAAGTATTTCGTTAATAACATCACAGTCTTATTCGTCGATTAAGCGAATCATATTAATTTTCAACACTATTTTTCTAATTTGAGCATAGTATGCCAACTAAATCAGTAATCTGCAAAATCATCCACAAAGAAATATAATTTTATGTTATCTTAAACATATAAAATACACGAAATATTGTGGAAATGTTTGAAAAATTTATATTTTTGCAAATACCATAGAAAAAATAATATCTCATTTAATACGGACCTTGCATAAATTTGTTATATTGTTTTCATACAAATTACGTAATAAAACGCATCAAACATTATATTTGTCTTGTGTCTATTCAACATGTACCGTAAAATCGAAAAAAAAACAGCGTCACAGTGACCTTTGAAATGACCATCAACGATAATTTCTGTCACGCCGTTCTCTATATCTTCTATTTAAAACTTTTCTGAATAAATTGCCATAATAATGATTGACGTGTCTTCGATTCCATAGAGATTATCATCGAATATATTTTCAAAGACCATTGTAACGCTTTTTTTTCTCGATCACAAGCTTTATTAAAATACTCGCTCTTTAAAATCGGGACACACACTGTCAATTCGAACCCTCACGCCAATCTACAGGGTGACCCAACAAAAATGAAGACTTCTAATATATGATTTTTGTTTTTGTTTTAGCCACCTTGACGAGAAATTTAAAACACGTCGAATTATTTGGACGTTCCAGAGGACATACGGTATAATAAACCACGAATTGTCGTTTAATTGGCTCACCCTGTAGGAGGGCCCGAGTTCTAGCGTTCGCCATTTTTGGCCTGGACGCGCTGTGCTGCATAGACCGTTTTTTGGTTTTGAAGAATTTTTCTTTTTTGGTCTTTCAAGAAAAAATAGTTAAAATATTATGCTTTAAGTAGCTGGATTGAACTGTATAATAGTAAAGTATATTTTTGTGTGGTTTATTTAAAAAAATAGCGTTGTCAGTCTTGTAAAAGGACTAAAAACTGTTATTTTTCTCTAACAATTGCTGTGTGTTAAGTACCTAGTGCCACAGTTATGTTTGGTTTGCTTGCCATTTTTGATAAATTGTGGTTGTATAACTTTCTTAAAAAATATGTTTTTTTGGGGAAGTTTTTTTGTACAGGGTGTTCCACTAAGAATAGCTCTCGGCTGTATCTCGGAAAGTATTAGCCGTAGGGCCTACGGAAAAAAATATTTGTAAGTAAAGAGGCAATGAGAAATTGCTGGAAATTATTTTGAAGTTTGTAAAACGGCCGCTAGAGGGCGCAACTGCTATGGAAAATAAGAAAATAGAATTTTGACAGAATTTTGTCTAGATAATGGGTACTATAAATAATAGCTTCATAATCTTTGGTAAATTTTGGATTTTTTTGTTTGAACATTTTCCACTATCTGCTAAAATAAACTGGTGGGGGAAGGTTAGGAAGGTTCGCACTCTGGATGATCAGAATTCAACAAACGAAGGCTCGTTTAAAAGAGCGGTTCTTACTCTATATTATATCATAAAAATAATAATAATAAAGTTTTGAACGTAGACGCGAGGGGGCGCTTTCTTACAATAACTTAACAAACAAAGCGTGTTTTTCAAAAAAACTAAATACGATAGTATCTGCAATTTTAGCTGATAGTACAGAGTAGTAAAAGCTTAAAAAGTCAGCGAAAACCGCATCTTGATATCATCTTTCAAACCGAAGATATTAGCAAAATTATAATAAATACCAAAAAATAAGCCCTTAATTACCTTATTTTTACAACACGGTATCAGTAGCCCTCTTGATTATGCCCATTCTAACAAAAAAATAAGATAGAAACGTCAAATTATTATTAGATCAACATTTTGATAGTCTCAGCAGCGTTTTTTATCTTTTAATTGCTTTTTCAAAATGCCTTTATTATTTGAAGTAGTTAAAATTGTTGGCATTTTGAAAAAACAATCAAAAGATAAAAAACGTTGCTAAGACTATCAAAATGTTGATCTAATAACAATTTGACGTTTATACTATTACGTCAAAAGCAACTCATTTCCAAAGCCTGCCATGATTTCACTGAATCATCGTTTCTTGTTCACTGTTATTAATATCTTAATTATTAGATATTAATGCATCTGGTATTATGGTATTCTGGTATTTCGTCGATTTTAAAATAAACTAACTATTTCTATCTTATTTTTTTGTTAGAATGGGCATAATCAAGAGGGCTACTGATACCGTGTTGTAAAAATAAGGTAATTAAGGGTTTATTTTTGGATATGTATTATAATTTTGCTAATATTTTCGGTTTGAAAGAAGATATCAAGATGCGGTTTTCGCTGACTTTTTAAGGTTTTACTACTCTTTACTATCAGCTAAAATTACATTTACTATCGTATTTAATTTTTTTGAAAAAACGCGCCATGTGTAAGAAAGCGCCCCCTAGCGTCTACGTTCAAAACCTTATTATTATTATTTTATGGTATAATATAGGGTAAGAAATACTCTTTTAAACGAGCCCTCGTTTGTTGGATTCTGATCACCCAGAGACAGTTAGATAAAGACACATCTAACCTTCCCCTACCTCTTTATTTTAGTAGAAAAATGGTTCTAACAAAAAAAATCCAAAATTACTGAAGATTATGGAATTATTAATAGAATGGTATTACCAATTATCTAGACAAAATTCTGTAAAAATGATATTTTCTTATTTTCCATAGCAGTTGCGCCCTCTAGTGGCCGTTTTACAAACTTTAAAATAATTTCCAGCGATTTCTCATAGCCTCTTTAGTTATAAATATTTTTTTTCCGCAGGCCCTACGGCTAATACTTTCCGAGATACAGCCGAGAGTTATTCATAGTGGGACATCCTGTACTATATTATTGAAAATTCTCTATATGAGTTGCTTGATTGATTTGACTTATAGGGAAGCAAAAAAAAAACATGGAGAAACTTTGACTAAAAAATAAAAATCCAAAACTATGAACGGTCTGTGCCAAAACTTATATTTTGTATTGTCATCGAAAGGTGACTTATTTAAGCTGTGATAAAGTCCTTATCAACTGTTATTTTGTATGATATTGACTTCTTTCAGATGGGGGTACTATCATATATTCATTTATTTAAAAAAATGCGCGTACACCACTTTGACAACAATTCTTTTGTACAGAATGTATTTCAGAGCCTTACAGTACAACATACGCGAGATGATTCGGTTTATTTATTTCATTATTTATTTAAAATTTTTCGAAATTTAATCATTAATTTTAGTTGACTCTCCTTTTGCGGGGAGGATAAATTTCTGAGATACCCTGTATAAGAGAGTTACTGCGTACGCCGCTGTACTAGATCGTGATAAGGGTTCTTGTCGCTATAAATACCCATTCATATGTTATTTTTAGTGTCATATTGTATAGTTTTGTTTTTTAAGAAAAGAAAACATTTTTGTAAAAAAAAAACGATATTGAAATATAGATACATGTTACACAAAAGAAATTTGTTGTTTTATTTTTGAAGTGAAACTTCTGACACACGAGCTAGCATCAGGATAAAAGTGTTAAAGGCAATGTTGCCAGAGCTACCCTCTTCGGGGTAGATCTACCCCTTTGTAAAACAATTTAACTCGCTATGGGTAACGATCTGTACCATACGCGGCTAAGAAAATCACTATAATAAACTTGATACTGTACCTGTGTACCAATATCCTATAGTTGTGTGCTAGGAAGAACATTTTCATGCATATTTTTATTGATAGGTTTGTAGCTTCTGAATAACGGTCTAGGTAAAGCATCTAGCTTAGTTGCCAGCTTATAATTAGAATTATTAAGGCTGATTCATGGTACACCGTGACGGGCCGGGGCCGTGCGACGGTGAAGGCACGGCCAAACATTGTCAAATGTTATTTATACTTATGCATTTATGCTAAGCCGAGCACGGGCCGAGCTGCGCCGGGACGCGTCCGTGCCCCGTCCGAGAAATGTCGGTGTACATTTTTCCTCGGATCCGCTACGGTCCGGTCCCGTTGCGGCAAACATAAATGAGTCGCCCGGGCTAAATACTTCGTTCATCTACGGGCCTATAGCGACTGTTTTCTAGCAGTGTTGCCGCACCCAACTTTTAGCGCGTACCACATTATAAATTAAAAATGTACCACTTTGGTACAATTTTTTAAAGCACAACAAAATACATCTGCAAATGACTTTAACCGGTTTGGTCGCTGTGAATTTCTTCATAAATTTCTACATAAAAAAACTTCCTGGAGAAAGACACAAATCGAGACGAAAAATATGAAATAGAAATTCAGAAAACCCAATTATAAGTATGTCTAGGTTGAAGAAATCTAAGTAATTCTAATACTACACACAATACTTGGAAAACTTAAATTTTATTAAAAAAACGCAAATATAGAAGCATGTTAGAAACAGTAAATTTTCAAGTTTTTTCTTCGGGTTATTTAATATAGGCAACGCTATAGACATTACAACGTTTATAATACGTCGTTAATTAATGCGGATTGTCTCCGAATGGTATCGGTAAGCGCGTTTAATGCAATATCAACAACAATAATTATTAAATATCTATTCATTTTCGGTGCGCGTGGGAAATAATTATTGTACCAAATCATCCTGGATTTGAAAATGTAGTACCACTGTACCAAATAGAATTAAAAGTATCAAATTTGGTACAAATGTACCACTGCGGCAACACTGTTTTCTAGAATATAATCGGCACGGACATGATCCCCGTTGTCCACTCGGTGTAGCATATATTGAAGGCCCGGACGTGGCTCGGTGTCTACTTTACGGAACGTGCCCGGCTCGGGTACGGCCCGGTGTACCATGAATCAGCCTTTAGAGTTAGTAACCGGCATTTTCATTGGAGGACACTGTTATATCTATTTTAAACCAATAATCAACGAGAATATTCATATAATTTAACGAAATTACTGTAACCACTATAAATACGAATTGTTGGTTAGGTTCAAAATTTTTTTTCTTCTTAAATAAATTTAAGCGTTAACATTATTTGTAGGCATTTGCATAAAAGTGTGTATTTTGGGTGGTATTCCACAAAATTTGCAGGCTATTGAGGAAACAGAAAATGTACAGATTACAGAAATAAATTGAAAATGATATTTATATTAAAACCTTATTAAAACAGCATTATATTGTCACAATTTTCAAACATGTCCTTCAAAAAATCAGTTATTTTAGTGCATTAAACTGATATTTTTCTCTAACGATTGCTGTGTGAAATAGAGCAACAGTTATGTTTTAAACAAAATACGAGTAGCGGAAAAAGGGACCAAAAGATCCTCTACATATATCCATATTCTCTGCATTAACTTAAGTTCATCGGAAATTAATGCAGAGAATAAGCATATATGTAGGGTTTTTTGGCCCCTTTTTCCGCTACTCGTGTTTTGTTTACTTATATATACCAAAAGACTAAAGAATCCAAGGACAAATAACACCCGAGAGCAAATTGTGACGCTGTCACCAAACAGTGCCGTGGAACATATTTTTCTTAACCTAGCTGTTTGAAGCAATATTTATATTTTTTGATAATTGTTTTGACTACGCCTATGGTGTATCATCCTAATTAATTACGAAAAAAACGTATTAAAATGTTAACAAAAGGTACAAAACTAGTATCGACGTATAGCACATATCAAGTACATATAGATGTTAATTGAAATTGAAGAATAATTATCGAATTCAATAAGAAAACGCTAAAAAGTTGGAGTGGACTGTTTATTTACCTAGAAACGTAACTCCTGGCTCTTTCTTATCGCTGCTGCTTTTACACTTGAAAGCTGAACAACTAATCACCATTGTAATAAAGTTTATACAAAGTTTACTACACACAAACTATTAAAAATCGCTAAAATTGTCGCTGGTGACCAAATGATGACTCATTGTTTGCCATCAAAACAAAAAAAAAGGTCACAAATTCTGCTGCAGCCCGTTAGTGGCGTTACATGTCCTTATATTCTTTAGTCATTGATATATACCCTACCTAAGCCTTCTTAGCTCCATCTACGGTAACGTGGATGAAGCAAACAGTTATGTTTTGTTTGTCTGACATTTTTGAGAAATTGTGATGCTTTTTTTGGGGAAGTTTTAACAAAACTGTATTATTGAAAATTTTTGTTTGGAATAAAACGATGCAAACAAAATTGAACACTGTAGTAGATAAAACTGGTGGTTTGTATATGTAGTTAATTAAAAGGTATTTAATTATTTAAGTGACATACATCAGATAGACGTGCTTATTCCACGACACTTGACTTATTGAAACTGACAACTTTCATTGTTAGATAAATTTTCAAATTTTTGCTGACAAAATTTAAAGTATTCTATTGAAAAACATGGCTCAACAAAGGAATACCTCCAAAATAAGTAAAACACCAAGTGGAGCTACTCGACTGACTACAACCTCGACATTTTCTGAAATGCAGGCTGATCCTGGTAAGACTAAAGCGGCGGCTACACGACAGCGACTTGCCTGCACGGTATAGTTTGCGCAAACTAGAAGGAACACTGTGCGGTGTCCACACGATGCAAGTAAGAGCGTACATTCATCATTATTTTTATTCTGAATTTGTGGTTCCGTTCGTGGCCGAAATTGTGTCAAGTTATTATTGTTTATTATTGCTTATTGTTAAAGAAAAAACAGCAAAATAAACGGTATAGATCGAAGTGGAGTAAAAACTGACTTAAATAGAAAACCATTTTCTTATACGCATCATTTTTTCTGTTCAGACATCATCACAGACATCTTCCACATACATGGCAACGATCAATATATTTCAATAAAACTCGTCATAAACTCCTTATTGGAATAAGTACGAATATCAGACATTTTCTAAGAGTTGATAACTAATAACACAAAACCCACAAAAGTCACAAAACTGTACCTTGAACTCGCTGATACCGATGATATCACCGCACAAACTGGATTGCGCAAACTAAATTCTGTAGCAGTGCGACGTTTACACAGGCCGCACTTGTTGGTTTGTGCGTGCTCACATGCGTGCTACTGTTTTACCGTCTACACACAGCGAGTTCCCGATACAAACAGGTTTGCGCAGGTAAGCTTGTGGTAAAGCTTGTACGTGTAGCCGGCCCTTAAGAAATAATAAAATACTTACCTAATAGCACAGAATATCTAGCTACGCAACAGAAAAATACTCGAAATGAAAGAGCTAAAATTGCACAAATAAAATACTAGATGGCGCGACAATATCATAATCAGAATATAATCAGGAAATTTTCAACTTTCGGTTTTGGATCGACGTAGATCGACGGCACGTCGACGGCCTTGAAGCTCGGCTACAAATGCACAGTTGCCAGATTCAAACAGACTTTAATTGGCCTCCCATTCTTTTTCTGGTGTATAATAATTCCTTTCTAGTCTTCGTTTCTTGTCAGATCCACTTATATTAATTATTCGTTTGGCTTTTAAAATAGTTTTAATTTTAAGTATATTATTAGAAAAAATAATATGCTCTCAAAATACATTTTTAATATACACAACTTTATTATATTAACTAAGAAAATAACTTTAACTACCTTTAAAATTAATAATACACAGGGCGATTGATAGTGATATTTATTAATGCTGAAACGTTAGTAATGAAATATACGTTTAATAATAATGGAAATGATTTATTAAAATGCAGTACAAAAAATGTCAATTGACTAATAAAAATACTATAATAACAATTTTTTTTGTTTGCCACGTTATTTATATAGACCTAGGTAGATTTTAAAAAGTGACACAGGTACAATTAATAATATATTAGTTCAGCATAAAAGTTGCTGTCACGACATCGTACAATAAATTAAAATTCATAAAATAAATTAAAATTATTAATTAAACAAATCTTTATAAAGAAACACAAGTATATTAAATTTGGGCCCAATCGGACGCCAGGAAATGGTATCGTAATATGGTACTACATTATGGTACTCCTTGATATGCTTCATGGTACCATAATATTGCAATGTCATCAAAAATACGCAAGTATAATCAAATATGAGCCCAATCGAACGTCAGGAAGTGGTATCGTAATATGGTACTATATTAAGGTACCACTTTATATATGCATCATAGTAGATGCATCATAGTACCATTATATTACAATGTCACCAAAAATACTTACTATACCAAGTTAAGCCCAATCGAATGCCAGGAAATGGTATCGTATATGGTACTATTATGGTACCTCTTGATATGCTTCATGGTACCATAATATTGCAATGTCATCAAAAATATGCAAGTATATATCAAATATGAGCCCAAATGAACGTCAGGAAGTGGTATCATAATATGGTACTATAGAAGGTACCACTTTATATGCATCATAGTACCATCATATTACAATGTCACCGAAGATACTTACTATACCAAGTATAAGTCCAATCGCACGCCAGGAAATGGTATCGTATATGGTACCTCTATCGTATATGGTACCTCTGTGTACTATTATGGTACCTCTTGATATGCTTCATGGTACCATAATATATACCATATATGCTTCATGGTACCATATAATATTACAATGTCACTGAAGATACGTAATATACCAAGTTTAAGCCCAATCGAACGCCATGTATCGTAATATGGTACTATATTACGGTATCACTTGATATGCTTCATGGTACCATAATATTGCAATGTCATGAAAAATACGCAAGTATATATCAAATACTGTACGATACCGAAAAAAACGGCTTCCAGTTGGCTGGGAAAAGACGATCGATGACATTTCCCATATAAATTTACACATAAAATGACAGCGATTTTCATTTCATAGCCATCGCTAACGCCGTTTTTTCCTGATCATACGGTATGAACACAATCGAACGTCAGGAAGTGGTGTCATAATAGTAGAACAATACTTATTATATTGTCGCCGAATTACAATCAAAATTCAGGATTCAGTTAGAATCAAACGTCAGGAAGTGATTTTAATTCAGCTCGTAAGATTTAACTCCAATTAACATGGCGAGTTAAATACTTAAACGTTTGAAAAAAGAGCTCTAATCTATTTTAATATGTTTAAATGATGTAGCAAATTTGAAGCTAGGCTTTATCAGGAAATATTACAATATAAATTACACAATGGCAACACTGCATAAAATTCTTTTAAATTTTGTTTGTAGAAAACTGTTTTCTTTTAAATTTATCGCCCTCTGTTATGTAGTAGTGAAACTACCGCATCAAAATATCTGATTTGGAGACAGGCTTTTAAAGCCTGTCTCCTTTTGAGACCTACCGACCTACGATTTTATACATGTAACGAGGCTTCTGTTGCGTAGCTAGATATATTTTCTGCTAATAGGAAGCAGCTGTGGCTGATTTTCGATGTACAGAATGTCCCATTTTCATGTGTCTTAATGTGGTTTCACGCAGATTTATTGTAGCATTCTTAGTTCCTAAAGTACAGGGCGAAGTGTTAAAATCTTCTATCTTGGTCATCTTATAACTTATCGAAAATGTGAAAACTGAATCCTTTAGAGTTTTGTACGTACAGTTCATACCAAACAAACTTTTAGTCGCGTTATTAAGCTTTTTCCGGCACAGTGTTGCCCACTTTTATATATTTTCTTTTAAATAAAATATTTTACGAAACTAAAATAAATTAATTATAAATATATAAACAGTTATTATTTACATCAACAAAACTCACCTTCTTAACTTAAAGGACATAAAGGGCCATTACTACCGCTTCAAAATATTCTAATAAAGTTGCGATGAGTTTTTTACGGCTATTAAGATATCTTGTATCATTTCGCACTAAAATCGATTCTAAAAAGAATAATGTTCGACTGCAAGGTCGGCTGATAAACATTTTTAAGCTTAAATTATCACAGCACTATTTATTTAAACTAAAAACTCATAATAAAAAACTAAAAAGTGTCAAAACGAATGACAATGTCAGGAAATAAATAAATAAATGCGGCAACTTGACAATTTTACAGCAGAGCTACCACCTGAATCCCCAGCGGGAAATTTAAATTCCATTTAATCAGCACGGCGTGGAATATGTCCATGGTTGGCAACAATGAATTTAAAAATCACGCCCTCGGTGACGTAACTAAAAGTTTATTTGATATGAACCGTAGAATCCAGTGGCGTTCATTAGTTACGCTGCAATAGCAAACTTATATTTCTTTTTTAAACGGGACATCCTGTATATTATTATTTTTTTATTTTATTTGTCTTGTTATGAGCTTTCTAAAAATATAATATGCAGAACGTAGAATGTATGGGAGTGTGTCAATCACCGCGACTTTACAGATCTATTGTTTGTCTCCCCTTTCTTGAGTTATAACTCATCATACAGTCTCAGGGCTTTGACGAAAGCCAGTATCGGCTTTGACGAAAGCCAGAGACGGCTCACAGAGGCTAGTTCTCCATCTCCTATATCGGTCTTACCAAAGTTTATGACACTCAGTGATGAGGTAATTTGAACAAATTTATTTGAATTTTTTTTGCTAGGAGCTTCTCAAAAAGGCGGTGGTTCTTGTAGCGCCTGTAGTGCAGCTAGAAGAGGTGGTTCACAAATATCTGGGTATGATTTTGTTCCTATTTTATATTACTAATACCGTATGATCGAAAAAAACGGTGTCAAAGAGGGTCAGGGAATGACAATTGATGATAATTTTGGTGAGGTTAATCTCATCTAGACGTCAAGTCTTAAAAATTGATGTAAAGCTTGTCAAAAAATTAACATTGAATATAGAAAGATTAAAAAAAGGATGGAACCAGACACACAAATTTAATACCAGAAAATTATTGCACCATTTAAAAATAATTTTTACTCAAAACAAAAATAAATTACGGGTCAAGTAAACGACGCGACGTCTAGAGCTTGAATTCGACAAAATTTTCATCGATTGCCATTCCCCAGCTGTCTTTGACACCGTTTTTTTTTTCGATCGTATACAGGGTGGTCCGAACTGTATTCCGGAAACTTTGGCAGCATATTCTGCAGATAAAAATAGGTGAAAAAGTTCCTATAAAGGTATGTTCTAAAATGCTTAGTTTTGGAGATACAGGGTGTAGAAGGTTCATTTTTATTTCGATTTTTTCCAAATAATTTCTGAAGTAACGTCAATATTTAAATGAAAATTGGTGTCTGGGGGTTTTTTGACATGAGAAATTTGATTTTGATGTCAATTTGATTCCTACTTGTAAAGGGCGCCACCTGAGTTAAAAAATATACATTCACTATGTTTTTTACGTAAAAAAGGTCTCTTGGTAAAAATCGTTACGAGTAATGGTTCTCGAGATATTTCGAATCGAAATTATCATTACCTCTCATCATTGGCATAAATTAAACATTTTGACTAAATAGATATTATAGACTGAAATCATAAATCTGAAATGTTTTTGTGCCAAAAGTTCAATAAAAACTGTTTTTTCATCATTTTTTTGAAGAAAAATTTATGATTAATATAAAAACAATAAAAATTCCCAAATTAATAATTTCAATCAAATAATTATCTACTCAACATTGTTTATCTTTTGTCAATAATGACATGTATTGACTATTTCCATTCTAAATATCTTGAGAACGGTTGCTTGTAGAGATTTTTACCAAGAGACATTTTTTGGGTTAAAAAATCACGGAAATGTTTATTTTTTCACTCAGCAGTTTTATACAGGTACGGACGAAAAGTTATTAATCTTCAAAACAGTTAAAACAAAGTCAAAACATGTAGGTGGCGCCCCCTACAAATAAGAATCATATTGACATCAAAATCAAATTTTTTATGATAAAAAACTCCCAGACACCAATTTTCATCTAAATATTGACGTTGCTTCAGAAATTATTTGGAAAAAATCGATCTAAATATGAAACTTCTACACCCTGTATATCCGAAACTAAGCATTTTAGGACATGCATTTATACGAAGTTTTTTACTTATTTTTATCTGTAGAATATGCTACCGAAGTTTCCGGAATACAGTTCGGACCACCCTGTATATGATATCTTTTTTTAACAGAGGGAAAATCTTTAACCAAACGATGATTAATTTATTTAATTTTTATTTCTATATAGAAGTAGACACACTACAACATCAAGTTCCCGAAGACCAGAAGCATCTGGAAGTGCCAGAAGTAACACTCACATTTCTATTTGTCATCCTGTATTCAAGTCTATTGTTGAAATACTTTTGTAGATACATCTGGTGGGCCATATCCAGGATCTGGCCAGGCAGGTGCACGTATTCGATATGCAATGGACAGCGGATCGACATCAAGTATACCAAGACAAGGAAGGCAAGGTTCTAGGATTCCGCAAAGGGCCATCTCAAAGGTAGAATAAGTACCGCGTCGCCTTTACATAAAACACACAAAATACAAAATATTAATTTATTATGCCCTTTTTGAGTCACATCTCCGTTACGCCCTTTCAATCTGGGGTACTTGCTGCGCAACAAAATTTGATCGTATTTTCAAACTTCAAAAGAGGGACTCTATTTATTGGGACTGAACAGTAGAACTCACTGCCAGAATTTCTTTAGAAATTTCAAAATACTGACTCTTCCTTTTTTATTCATTTTGGAATCCGTTTGCTTAATTCGCAAGCTGCTATTCCTATCTGCTATTCCCCACAACTATCCACTTAGGAATGCGGAGCAAGATCTTTATCTGCCAACCCCGAGCTCAGAACTAGTTAAAGGCTCGATACTATACAATGCCAAAAAAATGTACAATCATCTGCCTTTGAATATCAAGTCGCTTTCATTCTTTCCCGCATTTCGCAAAGCTCTTAAATCATATTTGCTGGAGACTTTTTTGTTGATGTTTAATCATGAACAATTTTGAATTTTAAAATTTTGATCATCTCACACACTGGTTAAAGGTCTAGTATTTAATATTTAATATTTTATAACTCTTACATGATTATATCCATTTACTACTTATTGTAAAATTTTATTGATACGCCTTTTTTTGCATTCTGCAAAAATTTTTTTGAATTGATTTGTATTGTATGATATTTTTTATTGTTTGTGTATTTTTTGTGCTTTTATTTCGTTGTAAATGCTTTGTCGATGAAGGTATTTTGGCTTTTTGTACAATAAAGCGTTATTTATTTATTATAATTCCCGGCACAAAATTCCGCCACCTTAAAAATTTGACCAAGTTGGTGTTTCATAACTATTTATTTTGCAATCCGATTTTTATGATTATGGTATCAGTGTGAAGATAAATTTATTGGAATTATTTTTTTATTATTTTAATGGCTTATATTTTTCGGTTAGGTGGGTTTATACCGGGGTAAATCAAAACGTTGTTTTTTGCAATAAATTCAAAACACCCTGTGGAAAAAATGACGGGCATCCTGGATGAAATACACTTTCCAGTAATTTTAGATGTGTTCCTAATAATTTCATTTTTTGAATTATTCCATTATCTCTATTCTTTTATGAGCTACAAATTTTTAAAAAGTAGTGATTACAGAGATTGTTTTATTGACAAAAACAATAAATTTAATAGTGTCTATGACCATCTCTCGCAGTAATAACAGCTCGAGGTCTTCGTCGTATTGAATAAATAAGGGTAGTTATTCTTTCTTGATCTATAGCTTCATAAATATCAAGATATAAGGGGGAAGTTATAACCGCGACCTTACAGATCTATTGTCCCCCTTTCTTGAGTTATAACTCAACATACAGTCTCAGAGCTTTGACACAAGCCAGTAACTGAGACGGCTCGGCTCTATAGAGGCTAGTTCTCCATCTCTGCATTCGCTGTTGTTTCTTAGCTTTAATCTACTGAGGTGTTCATTGAGAAATTCAACATTGTAAAAAACCCCTTGACAATCTGGAGATTGTTCTTACTTAAATCAAGCTTACACCACGGTTAAAACTTTTAGCTTTAGGGTACTTATTTCCTGACAAAGGAATCTTGTTTATTAATTATTTGTAATTTCTTTTATTAATATCATTGTTCATTCCTAATTTTCAGGGAGCACCTTGTAATGTATGTGGTAGCAAGGGAGGACAACCTAGGGATACGGTATACATACTAATTATATTTTCATTTAAAAAAAAAGAAAGAAATTTACATAGATACATAGATGAACCAGTACATTTTGATGCAAATTATATTTAATGCGCAAAATGCTTACACAGTGAAAGTGTACTTGAAAGAGCTAGCAAAGTTTTCGAGAGAGAATTTTAAGAAAGCTGTTTATTTAATATATCTTTTGCTATGCTCTCCTGAATAGAGTGCGGACCGTCTGGCTGCCGGTAGACGTTGCGTTCACTACTGCGCATCATATCTGTATTCAACATCTATTTACTACTGCGGATCTCAAATTCGCCCTGTATTTCAGGAACTAAGGAGGCAGAACAAATTTATGTGTAGCATATTTAGTTTCATAAAAAAGTAGCAAAGTAATGTGAAAATCTCCATCATTGTATCTCTACTCATAAACGAGAAATCCCATAAAACACACGAAAATGAGATACCCTGTACAGATGTGATGCGCAGTAGTGAACCGCAGTAGTTTACCGGCAGTCAGACGGCCCGCACTTTGGCCAGGAGAGCATAGCAAAAGATATATTAAAGAACCATAACTTCGTATCAACGGATAACGGACGCATGAAAATCAAGCTTTACTTGGATATTACAAAGCCTTCCGAGTTGACTTGAATAAAACAGTCAATACGATATAAGCAGCGTCCAAGTGTACTTGGACCTTGTATACTTGAACCGTGTCAACCTGCCTTTATAAACATTTGAAAGAGCTAAATGTTTCTATGGCTAGTATGATGTCTTTTTCTTTCGATCACGCCGTACATCAACGTAACCATGGCACATTATAAATATTATTGATCCAACAGTGGTCTTTAGAGTGCACCAACTGTTCTTATATCCATATTTTACTTATTTTAACGAAAAAAAAATGTATAGTACTTCGTATCTTCAACGAAATCATAAAAAATTGATGAAAAACTCGAAAAAACTGACAGATCCACCCATTGCGATGGATATTTCTGGTGAAATCACGAAAATGTTCAATATTAGAAAGGATAAAAACGAAAGAATATCGGAGTATATGTGCAAGACTATTCGAAAGACTAAGATGAAAGTGTTGAAAAAATATGCGGAGGTGGATTTTTTGGGTAAAGCTTCCAAAGGGGTGACTGGTAAGGAGTTCAGGGTTTTCTCTGATGCTTGTCCCACTACGGAGATGTCGAGGTAAATATAAGAAATATTTGTTTGATATTTATACAGGGTGAGTTTTCTACGATGTTCTTTATGGGTATCTCGGAAACTACTGGAGATATAGAGTCGGTTAAATCGGGAAAGAATTGCAGTTTTGTGGGGTCATAAATATCCTAACCTTTCAGATTTTTGAAAAAGTTCATGGCTTACTAGATATTTCGAAAAAAACAAATTTCAGCTATTTTAAAAATTGTTTCTAATAAATTCCATTATAATCTATTTTAGACAAAAAGATAAAATAGTTTTTCAGATAAAAGTTGTAGATAATCACATCCTTAATGAGATTGTGTTCTCCGTTTTTTTTCTAAAGCCTGTCATTTTTGATATATGACACAAAGTTATGTTTTTTTTAAATGGAAACCATAGTTGGCCATGACTTCATAAAAAGCGCCATTTTTAAGCTTTTCAGCGATATAAGTTATAATATGTTTTTTTTTCTCGAAAAATTACTGAGTTATAGCCAATTCTTATCATTTTTAAACAATTTCACTTAGCCATGCAAACAAGTCCAATCGTCTTTGCTCTCAGAAATGTCTAACTGTCTCATCCAAACTCTGTAAATTAAAGAGAACATCGTAGAAAACTCACCCTGTATTTTACACTGAAAAAAAAACATCCCGATACTGTTAAACACTAGAAAGACTTAAAAACTACTTTCAAAATTCCACACCACCCAAGAGGTGTGTTACTTTTTTTAAGTGGGTGATCACCAGTAGGCCTTTAAAAGAAAAAAAAACTTATCAAGCAATAAAAAATATATCCCGGTAGCAGATTGATATAATTGCAAAGTTTTCTATTTTTTTTTTCATTTCACCAATCTCTCAATACTGCACTTAACAACACTTCACTTCACTACAATTCTTGACAACACTATGCAAATTTCATAATACGGCGAAAAAAGAAGCTGTAATAATTGTTAAGACTTATTTTTTCAGTTTACTCCACTGTAAAAAGTATTTAAAACATTGCGTGTTTTTCTAGAATTAGTCTAGCTATCTACACTAATATGAATATACCAAATTAATTATTTTTTTGTGTAGTAACTTAATATTATTGTAAATTTATAAACATGCAGAATGTGGGTATGGTAGGAGGTGGCAACATTGCACTTTCTCCGAGATTCTCTTTCTTTATGCACAGTAAACGAATTTCCGGAGAATGAACAGTGACACTCAAAAGTTTTTCAACATTTTCCGGAAAATGTCAAGAAAAATTTAAAATTTTCAACATTTTTTTTTCGCAAAAAAACCTCTTGGCGTATTTCTGTGGTCGCCACTATACTACCAGTAAAATATCTGCACTTATTTCTTGAACACCCTGTATATATTGTACAGATTTCAGGAGAAGAACATTAGGGACAGAATTAAATCAAAAAAACTTGAAAAACTCTACTCCCGTTTAATAGACGATATCATGAAAGAAACAAAACAAGAGTTCAGAATAATCACCCATTATGCAGGTATCAACCTAAAAATTAAAGATAAATACCCGGAAGAAGGTTTTAAAGTTGAATGTTACAAACACCTTGGTCGTACTGATAACTACCAGAATTTCCTGTATATTAGAAAGCGAATGGTTCAAAGATGGCTTTTACATCATCATGTTTTAAGGGAACTCTTGAACCAATGCGTTCTGAGTCTTCCTCAAGAGTTATTTCAGATAAAAATTGGAAAAATCCTGGATTTAAGTGATATTGAATATATCCTGAAAGAGGTTAGTAGGTATACTTAGTTAAAACCATCCAAATAGCATCCTTATAAAATCTAGATACTGATAACACGGAAAGTTACTGTAGAACGATCGATTTTGATAAATAAAATGTATCAACTGTTAAAGTTTTTCTACAAAAACTAAGACCACTCTGTATTCTTTACTTTAATAAAACTACATAAATATAAAAAGTAATGTACAGTATGCTTCTAGAAAATCCAATATTCTTCTATAGTTCTATCAGACTTTCGTAAAAAAATATCCGCCATGGTAAACAAGGAGTGCCAAACCGTAGACAAGAAGCAGTCACAGATTGTACAAGCTTGCACCGGTCTTTTTTCAGTTTTTGTTAGCAAAGCAATCGCAGAAACTATACAGGGTATTGTGAAATTTTCTGAGTGCGTTGGTATACCTCCTTATTTGAAGCTTTACGTGGATTTTAAGGAGAATCTGGTGTTAAAACCTACATCTCAGGAGGTAAGTGTTTAAATACTGTTTATATATAGTTCATATCAAATAAACTTTTAGTCACGTGATTAAGCTTGACCGGTACAGCGTTGCCCACTTTTAAATATTTTCTTTTAATCGAAATATTTTAGAAAACAAATATAAATTAATTATAAATATATAAACAGTTATTATTTACATCAACAAAACTCACCTTCTTAACAGCGCACTTAAGGGACATAAAGCGCCATTACTACCGATTTCCCGTTCAAAATATTCTAATAAAGTTGCGATGAGTTTTTTACGGCTATTAAGCTATCTTGTATACTTCATACTTCGCACTAAAAGAGGTTTTAAAAAGAATAATGTTCGACTGCAAGGTCTGCTAGTAAACATTTTCAAGCTTAAAGTATTACAACATGATTACAACACTATTTATTTAAACCAAAAAAACTCGTAATACAAAACTATAGTGTCAAAACGACAATGACAGGAAATACATAAATAAATGTGGCAACTTGGCATTTTTTACAGCAGAGCTACCATCTGAATTCCTAGCGCGAAATTCAAATTTTAGTTGTCAGCACGGCGCCGAATATGTCAATGGTTGGCAACAATGAATTTAAAAATCGCGTCCTCGATTACGTTACTAAAAGTTTAATTGGTATCAACTATAGGTGTTTTATTTTTCTTATCCACTCAGTTATAGAAAGGTAATAAATCTAGAATTATAAGAAATATAAATATATGTTTGATATGTTTCAGGTGACTGAGTTATTTTGGCAATCAATAGACGAACTGATTCTCACAGCTGACGAACTACGAGTCTTGGGTAAACAACGAATCAAGGGATGCGGTATTAAATCTATAGTCCTTTGCCTAACTGAAGAATTCGTCAGTAAATGCAAGCAAGATATTGCTTGCAATATAGAAGGACTCTATAAACCTATAGTGAATTATCTGAATCAGATAACCAAAGATTTTGCTGAGATATATTCTGACGTGAATTGCGAAGAATTTGTCCAAGTTCTTGGTGATATTGAGTTCGAGGTTGGATGTCAGCAAATAGCTTATTATAAAAAGTAAATTTTTATAGATGGATGTCATATTATTAGTTTTCATATAATATACATGGTGGTCCGAACTGTATTCCGGAAACTTCTGTAGCATATTTTGCAGATAAAAATATGCAAAAAATGTTTCTTATAAATGTATGTCCTAAAATGCTTAGTTTTGGAGATATAGGGTGTAGAAGTTTCATTTATATTTCGATTTTTTCCAAATAATTTCTGAAGTAACGTCAATATTTGGATGAACCTGTATAAAACTACTGAGTGAAAAAATATACATTTCCGTGGATTTTTTACGTAAAAAATATCTCTTGGTAAAAATCGCTACGAGCCGAAACCGTTCTCAAGATATTTAGAATGGAAATAGTCAATATACTCTGTTTTTTTTTTCTCAGGTAAGATTTCGACAGACGATGACAGAAGAAAAGCAGATGACGTCCCATACCAATCTATTTATTTTACTAAAAAAAGTTTCTAATTATTTTTAAGTTATCTATGGATGGGTTTAAATATAAATCCGTCATGCGTCGTGTCTTGTTGTTTTTAACCAGTTTTATTGGTTTATTTAAAAAATGACAGATCGTATTTTAATTTTATTGGTTTGACGGAACGATGAACGACAAACGGACGCCGATGCGATGAACTCGCCTTTAGATTTTTGTCATTTTTGACGCTTGTCAAAGTCTTGCCAAATTATACAATTATAGGTTATAATTTTGTGTCAAGTTTTGTTAAATACCCTGCGTTTTGGAAGATGATGCATTTTGATTCGTATTATTATGTGTGTTTTGTGTCTTTTGAAGTCAAGTGGAGGAAAAATCGAGTGAAAATTAACTGTAGACCCAGAGCACAGTTTATGGTTAATACTCGCTGCCCAGGCAGAAAGTCTTATACACCAATGAAGTTGCCATCGACAAAGTTTGTATACCATTTCGTCGTAGATAAGTGCATCTCGTATAAGGTAGAAAGATCAAACTAAACGCATACTAAAAACTGGAGTAGCTGTAAAATATCGACATCACACGATAGGCAAATAATGGATTTTAGTACTGCAGAAAAATAATGTCAAAAGGTACTGGTTTAAAAAAATTAAGATTAAATTTAATTAATCAACCTTTAAGGTATAAAATTTGGTAGGAGTTATTATTAATAAAATAGTTTGTTTTATTTACCTATGTTGTTTTATTTATTCCTGTGGAATATTACAAATTTGTATTTGTACATAAGTTATATTGATAAATATAATCATAAATGCGGGTAGTTTCATAAAGCTTGAAAGTAAATAATAGTTCTTTTTTATATTTTTTTGGTATGTAGTGTCTTGTTCTTGTTTGTTTTGTATTAACACATACCGTTTATATTAAATAAAATAACTCGATTACATTTTTTCAGTTTTATACAGTTTTTTTCACAATATTTTGAAGTAATCACTTGTCATCTTGTCAATCAAATTTTAAATATTTCCTGCTATGCGTTCCAGTTGTACCAACTTATTTCTTTGTAAAATAAAATAAACTACTTTGAAATTAAAATGACAGACACATCTATCACTGTCAAGGATCTTCTCGTTGGACAGACTATACCTACATGTCATTATTGACAAAAAATAAACGTGTTGAGTAGATAGTTATTTGACTGAAATGATAAATTTGGGAATTATTTATTTTTTAAAAAAAGTTTTCTTCGAAAAAATGACGATAAAACAGTTTCTGTTGAACTTTTGACACAAAAACATTTCCAATTTATGATTTCAGCCTAATAACTTTTAAGTAAACATTTTTAATTTATGTCAATGATGACAGGTGATTGATATTTTCGATTCTAAATTTCTCGAGAACCATTACTAGTAGAGATTTTTACCAAGAGACCTTTTTTGCGTATAAAACGCCAAAATGTATATTTTTTACTCAGTAGTTTTATACAGGTACGGACAAAAAGTGATTATTCTTCAAATCAATTAAAAAATATGTAGGTGGCGCCCCGTACAAGTAGGAGTCATATTGACAGCAAAATCAAATTTTTCATACCCAAAAACTCCCAGACACCAATTTTCATCTAAATATCGATATTAATTCAGAAATTATTTGGAAAAAATCGAAATAAAAATGAAACTTCCACACCCTGTATCTCCGAAACTAAGCATTTTAAGACATACATTTATACAAACTTTTTTACTCATCTTTATCCGTAGAATATTTTGCCGAAACTTCCGGAATACAGTTCGGACCACCCTGTATATTTTAATTTTTCAGATATATTCATAAAGTAGCTTACATACCTGACAACGAATACTTTCAAATAGGACAGTTGGTACTGAAGAACTATAGAGATAAATTAAAAGACAGTCTTCAAAGTATCACTGACTCGATCTTCAATAACTTGTCTTTACAACATTTGCGGGAAGTACAGGACATATGTGACAGTTTCCAGTTGATTAAAACAAAGGCTTATCAGAAACCTTCAACAACTGACGAATTGATCGAAATTGGTATGGGTTCATTATAATATTTTTATTCAAAGGTTCCACCAGTAAGAGCAAATAATACAAGACATAAAAATGCAGTTTAAATGAAATTTCACTCACAAAAGTCTTTTTTTTTTGGGTATAATTAAGGATGTAAAGACCGTTCAGCCATCGTTCACCATTACGTCATCATTATTTATCAATTATGAGTTTTAGGGTGTGTCTGAGATCAGTTCATATTGTTTAGAAGAATTTTAAGTACGTTCCTATATTATTGATTGAGCGAGTTCCGTTTTTTTTCGGCATTATTCATTTTTTCTTGAACTCTTCATCAGTCACTATCCCTTTAATTCCAATCCTTTGGACTGTTGAAATTTCTGTTTCTAAAGCATCAGCAACTCGCTGTATTATTTTAAAAACGCTATCAATTTGTATTTTACATAGGAATATTACACATTTGCATTGTACTTATTTCATATACGGAGTGTTCTAACTCTACCAGCGTCTCTTTCTCGAGAAAAATAATTTCTAAGCTTAGCATTGAGCTCTTGTTCATTTTGGTTAAATCTTTGAGGTATTTTTGCAATAAAAAAATTCGAATTTGGTTTTACAGCAAGAATCAAATTTTAATTTTGACATTGATCCATGTCCGTCAATAAAATTATAACCCCAAATCAAATGACAATGACAATTACTAAAAAGAATATGTAGTAATTTACAAAATGCCGAATGACGTCATCAATCTCTTTCATCCATAGACTTAAAATAAAATATAGACTACACTATTTACATCTCAACGCGGACAAACAATAATTTTTGTACACATGTTTACTTCTGGGTACAGTCGACCGAGCCTTCCTCATCCAGCCTATGTTGTCACGTCTTTAATATTATCAATATTTTTTTTCTTGTTATACACATATATTGAGATATTAATACTACAGTTTAATAAAGTAGGTTTTAATATTCCATAGATGTATTAAATAGTCCTTATACTAGTAAATTATAAGTCGGATACTGTTTAAAAAGGATAAGTTCTTGACAATATGACAACACCAATTAGAGGCGAGAGGGAGCCTATTCATTCATTTATTACCTTGTAGTACGTGTCGCACATGTGCGGTAAAGCTTTGTTGCCGCTATCTCCCCGGCTGTATTAACGCATTTTCTTAGCTTGTAGTCCTTAAGTGTTTATTTTATTGACTTTTTCTGTTCAAGAACTATAAAATATGGTTCGCCAGTGACAAATTTTCAAGAAATTTGACTTAAATAATCCATTTAAGTCTTGAAACGACTTTTGACCGGTAGGCAACTCTCAATTTACCCATTGGGAGTCAGTGGCGTTGTTGTAGAAAGGCGCTTATTTAGATAATATTTTAGTAAAATGTAAAATCTGAATTTTTTCTCTTATATTACATTATTTACTTACTTACATTGTAACAAAATCATAATTATAACCCTGTTAATAATTAATAATGTTTTTTATTAAAAATATATTCCGGTTTATTTTAAAATTATCTTCAGAATCTAAAATAACATACAAGAATTTTAAAATAATATTACATTATGAAACAATTTTTTTTAATATACCGGGTCGTCTCAAAAGTGGCTCACCCCTATAACTTTTTTATTTTTTCAGATAAAAAAAAACAGATTTGTATGTTAGTAGGTATATGACATAAATTAGGATTTATTGACGTATTCAATTGTTTTTGGTCTCTTCCTGTTTTACCGAAATGATTACATCTTTTGATTTTTAAAGGCACCCTCGGTATATTGCTACTTTATTCGATAAAAAATGACACTCTGAATAGAATGACATATCATATGTCAACTTTTGACATTGTCGCTTAAAAACAAATCCTATTTTAAATTTCAATCCAGGGTGCCATGGTGTTGTTAAAAACAAAGTTTTAATCAAGGAGCCTTGGAAAAATAGTTTTGATCGTCTAATAGGTTTCGTGTCTTGTCTAGGCCGGTTAAAAGATGTACATATCGTATTTTTAATCATACATATGTCAATTTTTTCAAATGAAACAAGGATGACTCGTTAGCATATTTGGAAAAAGCATTTTTTTATGAATATATTGATACCACACACTTGGTATTTCGAGTCAAATTGTCGTTATGAACCGCGTGTTACAATTGCAATTAAACCATATGCGAAAATGTCAAAAGTTGACATATCATATGTCATTCTATTCAGAGTGTCATTTTCTATCGAATAAAGTAGAAATATACCAAGGGTGCCGTTTAAAAATTAAAAGTTATAGTCATTTCCGATGAAACAGGAAGTGACCAAAAACAATTGAATGCGTCAATCAATCCTAATTTATGTCATATACTAACATACTAAATCTTAGTTTTTTATTTGAAAATATAGAAAAATTATGGGGATGAGCCACTTTTGGGACGCACTCGGTATAATAAAGACAGTACCGAGTTAAATAAATATAGTTTTCACTTTATCCACTTCCTATCACCTTCCTTGCTTTAATGGATTGGATTTATGTTTTCTCTAATTTACATAAGACATAACTTAACCAGAAAAAAAAATACAACAATCATATAATATTTTTTTCTCTCCCTGTCGCCGATTCTATTATATCTGTGGAATAGATCCTGTTTTGATTAATATTAGGGGTTGTAAATGTTTGACTAAAATTAATAATTTATTATTAATTTCAAAAATTACGTAATTTCGATTATAAAATTTTTTCTATAACGTGTATTTTATTATTTTTATCCTTTTTGGACTCTAAGACGTTTTTTCTAAACTTTTATTTAAAAGACCTGTCCTAAATCTTAATAAAATATAAAAAAGTTTAAATACGATATATTTTTAATTTAATTATAGCTTCATTAAAATAAAAAAATTACCCGGCTATGATACCGAGAGTTCAGGTGTACTTGAGAAACGAAAGACAGTGTTGTGTTTCTCGGCAGAGTCGTCAGGGAAAGACCGTTACGACAGAGACAACCTATCTATCGCTCGTGTCGCACTCGTTATAACCTAAAACAATAACACAACGATAACAAGACATTGTCTGACCGCATGTTCCAGCTATTTATGAATGAGATGCTCAGTCCATATTTTATTTTAAGTCTATGCTTTCATCTGGTTGGCAAGTGATTGAGAGAGTTCGACAATATATGATGTGATGTTGAACGATGGCTGAACATTCTCTATATATGTGGTCCCATGCATCCCATGTGGATAGAAGCACAACATTCTATTTTGTCTAATATTTCAGATTTATTTATTTATTCCTGTCCAACTCAGTATATAAAAAAAATCAAGAAATACAAAAATATATATATATATAAAATATACAAAACGGCTAAATTAATAAAAAGGTACATCATACATTTAAAAAAAACATAGTCAAACAATCAACATAAATAGGAACAAAACTTGTACAGAATTACACAAACTACAAAAAATATATATGCACACAGCGGTTATATACCGGATATCCAGTACTTGGCACACTCCAGAGCGTTGGTATTTCCCTCCGCCAGATCACTCTGATTGCATATGTTTGGAAGATTTGGGCATACGAGAAGATGCCTCATATTTTGTTCCTCTCCGCATTCACAGGATACAGGTCCGTCAAGGTAGGTTAGTTCCCCCACTGGTTCATGTTTGTCTTGCATCTGCCAACCTGAGTACGCCAAACGGTTCAGACTCCTCCACACCGGCCATGCTTGTTCCGCACCAGGTGGTAGGCTCTCTTTTGGCCTTAGAGCAAAGTCGTTTGGAGTTGTTGAAGTTGCTGACCTTGTGGTTTTGCCGTGCTGCTATCAAGTGGCTGGACGGCAGTTAGAAAACTTTTTCGAGATTTCAACCTGGGTCCAGCGGCGTATTGTCCGAAGAGTGGGTGCCGGGTATCGGAAAGAGCTTGCTGTTTCTCTTTCGTGCTGGAAACTTGTCTCCTTATGTGGTGTGGAGCTATCCCGCTGAGGAGGTGTAGCGTATGTACTGTGTATGTGTGTTTATTTTACTTTACAACATATTTGAAATATTTCAGATGATACTGTTTTTCTTTGTATTTTCTCTGACTCTGGTGTTGCCCTCTTTATTTGACTCACTCAACTATTTTCCTTATTGATTTTATCGATACTTAATAATAAAACTATTATTTTTTAAAGGAAAATTTATGACATGGGTTAAAAATGAACAGCTCCAAGATTTGAATCAACGGGTTCACGCATCACTTGCTTACTTGTGCAAGATCATTACATTAGGTTTACTGAGCAAAGATCACATGAATCTGAATGCTGAAGGTTGGTTTTATTTTACTTTACATTAAATATAATTTGATTTAAACCAAAGATAAATACTTAAAGCTATAACGTGGTTGGATGAGATTGGACCTATAGTAGATCAGCATGCCGTCAATTATGACCAACTAAAATTTGAAGCTGAGGAGAAGCTTCAAAAAGTTATCGAAGAGATTAACGTGGATATCCAAGAGGTGTATCCTCTGTTGGTTGTGTTGGATGAAATGGACGATATAAAATATGCCCGAAAATATTTGAGTGATATTACTTTACATATGACCAAGATAAAGGTAACTTTAACTCTTTAGAGGTTGATGGTCGCTGTTTTCTATGCTTATTTCTATGCGCGCCTTGATGATTTAATCACTCATATCTATACGTTGGCCGAATTGGCGCGAAAAGTTAACGTAAGTGGTTGAATATTCGACCAGTAAGCATAGGTGACACTGAGTTTGTTGTGTATCATAGGTAATAATTATTGTCGTCTAAGCATTTTCTATAAAAAATTCGTGGAATCAAAATTTACAAATATAGAAACAATGTATCTGTGACGTTTATTTCTTTTTATTTAGTGCACCAAATTTACGGCTCGGATGATATTTTCTAAAATCGTTAACATATCTTGTATATTTTCGATCATTTCTTATAGGATGCGAGTTTCTCGAAAAACAAAATTTGATTTACTTGATATGGGCATATTTTTGAGTAGAGAGTTAACAGAGAAAATCAAAATGAACTTACTCTTTTTTCTTATATTGGATGATACGTACAGTTTATACATTATACCGTGCTGGCAACTGATACTTTTGGGTTGGCATTTACATGTGTGGAAGTAAATCGCATAGGGATCTTATTAAGACAGAGTGAGAGAAATGCGACGGTGTGCTGTTGCAGCGTTGCCGGTACGCCTTTCCCTATCAAGTAGAGTAAAATCACGATCGCAAACCGCTTATTTTTAAAAGACTTTTTTTCAAGAGATAACTAGATAAAATCATTAGACATGTTTCTGAGCATTTGAAATAGAATTATAAGAATATCGTTAGGGTGTCATTTTTTTATAACGAGAAAACGAGAGTAATCGCGATAATTTAAAACTCAACTTTTTAACACATAACAGGCCATAACTCAAGAACCACTTTAGATGCCGAAACTTTTTTTATTTTTAAGATCGGATATTTTACAATATGTTTACATAAGAAAAATTCGATAAAGTTGTTTTTTCCATTCAAAAATTGTAAACAATCCATCCATTTACTTTCAGAGGATAGCAATTTTCAGCAATCCTGTAATTTTTTTATTGATAAATATTTTCACATACTGTCTACAAAGAAAATACAGCAGAAATATTAACAAAGTTCTTGAAAAAACTGCAATCTATTATTTCTAATAGATTTCGAGATATCGATTTTTGAATTCAGAGTTCTAATAGCGCGACCACTATCGAACACCCACTCAATTCCTTTTATTTTTACCAAAAATGCAAGTGTTTCTAGCTTGCACTTAAAAAAAAATCAAGCTATAGGGAAAATTACAACGACTCGTTAATAAATAAACAAATTAAGTATCACGAGACGTAATTAAATCGTGAAGCTGAACGCATGACGTACAGCTTTAGAGTTCCCTAGAAATTTAAGTACTGACAGAAGTATTGATTGGGTCGACCGGTCAACTGCGACAAATCTGCTATATCCCCTTCCACGTCTCTTAGCGATGTGCAGAGTTTCTCGGTTTATTTCATACGTTTGGCAACGTGTTTACTGTCCTCTCATTGTTCAGTACATTATAAATGCATTGTACTCTTCTTACATACGGAAATCTCGACCCAAGACTAACCTTTGCCAGCCCTTAGTATACATTAGATCATTACATATTATATATTTGTTTTAACAGTCTGGTTGAAAAATCGACCACCACCCCCTTATTTTTTATTCCCTTATTTGTTAACTTTTTGAAAAATGTTATTATGAAGATATGCTCCCTTTGTGCTAGTTTATATAATTTTGAAGTCAATTTGATCAAACTAGAAAATAATTAGTACTGGCCTATAAAGGGTTGAACCACAGCATATTTTTAATTCTGTAAACTTTGAGTCTCGAAGACATGAAATGTACTAATTGTTGATTCTTAATATTGATAAAAATAGCAGATACAACTAAAGATCGAATGGATCAACAAAGAAGAAGTGTGTTTGAGCTTTCCAAAATCAACGTACGCCGAATTTGACAACTTAAAAGATTACGTCTACCCATTCTATCATCTGTTGAGACTGTGTCAACATGTCCAAAGACACGTTTCGGTCTGGTTAGATGGTCAGTTCGATGTGCTGGACTACGAGATTACCAACGAGAGAGTCGAGCATTTTTGTCGAGACTTGGGGGATTTACAGAAGGATTACCGGAAAAAACTGAGGCAAGCTCAGGACGAGAATCTGCCCATAAGGTAAAATCTTTTTTTACACAGTCGTTAATACTAAAATCGACTCATCGGAATCTTTAAACGAAGATATTGTAATCGCAAAACATTTTCCGATGCACGTCATCAATCATATCGCGATTGACACTAAAGTCTAACGTGCTGGCAACTGTTACTTTTGGGTCGGCATTTACATATGTGGAAGTAAATCGCATAGGGATCTTATTAAGTCGGAGTGAGAGAAATGCGACCGACCGACGCGACGCGCGACGGTGTGCTGTTGCGGCGTTGCCGATACGCCTTTCCCTATCAAGTAAAGTAAAATCACGATCGCAAACCGCTTATTTTTAAAATACATTTTTTTTCAAGAGATAACTAGATAAAATCATTAGACATGTTTCTGAGCATCTGAAATGGAATTATAAGGATATCGTTAGGGTGTCATTTTTTTATAACGAGAAAACGTCAGTAATCGCGATAATTTAAAAACTCAACTTTTTAACACATAACAGGCCATAACTCAAGAACCACTTTAGATATTGAAACTCTTTTTTATTTTCAAGATCGGATATTTTCAATATGTTTACATAAGAAAAATTCGATAAGGTTGTTTTTTCCATTCAAAAATTGTAAACAATCCATCCATTTACTTTTAGAGCATCGCAATTTTCAGCAATCGTGTAATTTTTTTATTGATAAAGATTTTCACATATTGTCTACAAAGAAAATACAGTAGAAATATTAACAATGTTCTTGAAAAAACCACAATCTATTATTTCTAATAGATTTCGAGATATCGATTTTTGAATTCAGAGTTTTAATAGCGCGACCACTATCGAACACCCACTCAATTCCACTTATTTTTACCAAAAATGCAAGTGTTTCTAGCTTGCACTTAAAAAAATTCAAGCTATAGGGAAAATTACAACGACTCGTTAAAAAATAAACAAATTAAGTATCACGAGACGTAATTAAATCGTGAAGCTGAACGCGTGACGTACACCTTTCCCTAGAACTTTAAGTACTGACCGTCTGTCAGTACTTAAAGTTGATTTATTGTAGTATTGCAGTATTGATTGGGTCGACCGGTCAACTGCGACAAATCTGTTATATCCCCTTCCACGTCTCTTAGCGATGTGCACAGTTTCTCGGTTTATTTCATACGTTTGGCAACGTGTTTACTGTCCTCTCCTTGTTCAGTACATTATAAACGCATTGTACTCTTCTTACATACGGAAATCTCGACCCAAGACTAACCTTTGCCAGCCCTTAGTCTAAACCTGACTAAATTAAATTTTGGCAAAAAACACGTGGTGGCATATGAGTGTCTTTAATATTTTGTCAATATACAGGAAAAAATATATTGGTCTAAAGTCTTTGTATGGTCTTGCTTTCCAAGAATGGCTTTATTAGACTAGTTTTCATTTCTTTTGAAACTTATCCGGTAGATAAAGGAGTGTCTATTAAATTCGATAGAGGATAGTCAAACAAATTTCAAAAATTGCGCAGGAAACTTCTTCAGATGTCGATTTATTTTTCAAGATAAACACTGAGTAGATCATTTGTAAGAATGTCTTAAATAAAAGTCCTTTAGACGAACTAAACTTTTAATTAAAGAAAATACTAATAATCCATTTAATAATACTTCATAAAAATAGAGCTTAATATATCGCGTAAGAGGACACAGGTCTTGCTATTTGGTTTCGCACGATTCTCTCTCTTCTGTCGTCGCCACTCCTATCCCAAAACTCCGTCGCCTCTACGTTGCGTCGGTTAGTTCTGGGAATCCCTCGCTTGTAATATTCGGTGGCCCATTAATCTTACATATTCGGCCATCCTGACCCTGGACTGTCCTCAGTCTGTTCTGCGTCTGTGTCTGAAAAATCAAATGCGATCAGCAATGTTGTCCTTTATTATTTGACAATTATCCTAGTTTGTCAGTCATTATTTTGTAGAATATCGTGTTGTTGTTGAATCTTTGTGAGTAATTCTCGTTTTTTGCCTATTTTCATAGTATTTTTTTTAAATGCACTTTTAAGTACAAACAGTTCTTTTAAGAACTAAATTTTCGAGTTTTTGTATTGCATTTCTTGAAATTGTAAATTGAAAATATGCCGAAGCAGTTAAACAGTCGAAGCAAAGAGATTGTAGCTTCCCTGTTTTTTTTAAACTATTTTGAACGAGAACGTGACAATAAAGGTCCTTTATTACCCTTGACTGCAGTCAGAAAAGTAAGTTTGATTGATAGGCACATTATATCACTTTTAAAGTTAGTTTTGATTAAATTTTTTGACTATTAGTTTGTGCATTAATAGCAACCTCTTACTTGTTATTACCACTTATGGCGTTGTAAGATGTATATAAATAAATAAATAACCCATAATAACGCTTATAATAATATTCATAATGGACTAGTTTTTGCCAATATGTAATAAGTAAAATAAGCTATAAAACAAATAAATCAATTAATCACTAAAATATTAGTCATTAAATTAAAAATAAAACATAAAACTTTTTAAAAAATGATATAATAAATATGTTGTTTGTCAATTTTAAATTAAGGTTCATCTCACGACAGTGACAGCACTGTCGACATCGCTTGTCACTCAAAGTTGATCACGTGCATCGGAAATTGTTTTGCGATTACCATATTTCTTTGACATCCTGTATAATAAATAATCTTGCTAATAGCTTGAATGATTTTTTACTAGATTCAAAGGTACCGTTGACGATCCTGACATTCTCAACTGGCCTGCACCATTAAAGCTTTGCATAACAGCTCTGAAAATAATGGAGGACTTCAAGCCATCACTAAAAGTTATGCAAATTATGTGTAATGATTCTTTACGTCCTAGACATTGGAAAGCCATGTCGGAGATAGCAGGATTCAATATTACTCCAAATGCTGGTAAAAAATCTTATTATTAAGTATTATTTTTATGTCTGCCTGTTTAATATTAATTCTCTTAATTCAAGATACATTTCACGTAGACTTATTATCATGAGTAATGTATGAAATAAGTGCAAGTTTTTTAAGGGGTGGTAGCTCTGGGCAAAAGAAACCTGTTTTCCCTTTACCATTTTTAAAATAAATTGAAAATAACCAAGTTATTTAACTTTGTAATTTGACAAATAAATAAAGCTGTCTCTTTAGTTGTCAGTTTTGAGTCAATATTTTTTAATTCTCTTTCGTGTCGATTGCTGATTGAATTGGAGCCAGAAATGGCTCAAACCGAAATAAGTAAATTACCAACAGATATTCAGGCTGACGCGATAAACGCCATATCCAAACTAGAGATACATCTACAAAAACCGTTGACGTTTTGTTAAAATGACATTATATCAAGTTAAACTTCATTATAAGAAGTTATTAGTGAATTTATAAACATGCAGAAAGCAGGTGGCAACATCGCATTCTCTCCGAGATTGACTATGCACCGTAAACGAATTTCGGGAGAATGAACAGTGGCACTCAAAAGTTTTCAACATTTTCCGGAAAATGTCAAGAAAAATATAAATTTTTAACATTTTTTCCGAAAAAAAATCATGGGTGTGTTTCTGGGGTCGAACTATACTACCAGTTAAAATACTTGCATTTATTTCTGAGACACTCTGTATATAAACAAATATTTTAGGTACAACATTAAGAAAAATGATGCAAATCGACTTGAAAGACAAACTATACGAGTACGAGATCATCAGTACAGGAGCAACAAAAGAACAAGAACTTTTAGATAATTTAAACAACCTCAAAGCAGATTGGAACAATGTTAAATTTGTTACATCAAAATATAAAAATAAATTATTGATTCTGGACCATTTACAAGACGTCAGAACAATAATTGATGATCATATGATCAAAGTACTAAAAATGAGAAGCTCAGTGTTTGTAAAAGCTCATGCAACAGAAGTTACAGATTTTTATGATGTTCTGTTAAATGTCGAAACTGTTTTTGATAATTGGGATGTTATTCAACAAGATTATTTAAAATTACTACCGATATTTTCAATTTCTGATGTAAATCAGCTTGTACCCAAGGAAAAAAATCTTTTTGAAAAATGTTCAGCCATTTTTAATAGTTATATTCAGAAAATTTTAAAAAATCCTATAATTATCAACTTAATATCTCAAACCCAAATGGTAAAAGACTTGAACAACTGCCTAAACAAGATGGAACAAGTTAAACACGGTGTTAACACTTACTTGGAAGTAACCAGACAACATTTTCCAAGACTCTATTTTCTTTCAAACTCTGAATTAGTAGAATTGATATCAAAAAACGGAGATTTTACTGAGAAAGATTTTCTTATAAAGCTTTTTCCTGGCATCGAAAAAGTTAAATATAATTCAGACAAAGAGATATGTGGTGTGGTGAGTCCTTTAGGTGAGGAATTGAATATAAGAAACTCTTTTAATCCAGTGTTAGAAGATGGTTTACATAAAATTTTGAAGAAATTAGAGGAAGAAACAAAGAAGACCCTTCAACACTTGACTGCAGAGTGTTGCAAGGTGTTTAAGAAGACTAAAATTAAAGATCTGGTGATGAAATATCCCCAACAGAGTGTTCAGCTGGCAGCTCAAGTTTTTTGGACTGATCAAGTGGAAAATGCCTTAAAACTGCCTCACAATATTAAACTTTTGTTGTATAAAAAACGACTTGAAGGTTATATCGATGAAAAAGTTAATATTATCAAGTCAACAAATTTAAGTAACATGGAAAGAACGATTTTTAAAAATCTTCTACTTACAGACTTGAAACATAAGTATTTGCTGGCTTATTTTTTGAAAACTGGGCTTGTTATAGACGATAATCATTTCGATTGGCAAGTACAGCTAAGGTATTATTTCCAAAAAAACTTCCTTACAGTTAGGGTACTGGATAATTCTGTAAGTTATGGGTATGAGTACTATGGTAACAATTCTCAAGCTATTTTAACACCGTCAGTTGAAAAATGTAACAAAACATTATTAAACGCCTATTTCTCAAATTTTCTCGGTTTGGTTGCTGGAAAATCTGGAACAGGTAAATCCAAAACTGTTTCTTCTTTAGCAGAATCTTTGGGCTTGTTACATTTTGAATTTCTCTGTACAAATAGTCTGGAAATGGAAACTCTTCTTCAACTGTTGAAAGGAGCAGTTTCTTGTGGAGCCTGGCTGATTCTTGATTCTTTTGACAAGTTAAAGCAAGAAATATTTTCAGTTTTTACTCAAGAACTACTCTCAGTGCTCGAGACGAAAAAACAGAATAAAACAAATGTTTTGTTAGAAAATATGTATGTTGGGTTGAATCCTAGATGCTTTGTATGTGCCTTGACTGAAGTTAGGAGTCACATTTCTTTACCGGAGAACTTGAAAGTTCTTTTTAGGATCTTTACTTTACCCAAACCTGATTTAAGTATACTCACTGAAACTTTTTTAACTTCACAGGGTATGAAGGATTCAAAAAATTGTTCTAGGAAGCTTGTAAAGTGTTTGGAGTATTTTCAGGATGCCATGTCATATCAGAAACAATATAAGTTTGAATTAAAGGTGGTTATGAATGTTTTGGGAACCTTTGAATATGAGAAAACTATGCAAAGTAGTGATGGTGATGAAAAAGTTTTATGTGACAGTATTAGGAAAGTTCTGTATACTTGTCTTGTACAGGAAGATGTAAAAATATTCAATGGGATTTTGGAAAATGTATTTCACGAAAAATATTGTATAGAAGGAAGTAGTAGTCAAGCTGTTAGAGACATTGAAAGTGTTTGGGGATCAATTTGTGAGGAATATAATTTAGAAATAAACAATGAATTTAAAAATAAAAGCATTGAATTGTATAATGCTTTAACCAGCAAGACCAATATTATGATTGTGGGAGATGTTTTTGCTGCAAAAACTACTTGTTTAAAAGTTTGTACAAGAGTGTTTGAAAAAACTTATAATAAATCGATAAAAACTCATTATATTAATCCAAAATGTGTGAATTATACAGACCTGTATGGAAATTTAGAAAATACAGAGAATTCTACTTGGACTGATGGTATTTTATTAAAAATTTTGAGAGAAAATCAAGAGGATCAAAAAAATAAAACTAACCTGATTGTTTTTGATGGTCATATCGATCAAACTTGGACTGAAAATATACGAGGTGTACTAGAGAATAAGAAACTGTTTTTGGAATCTGGAGAAGTTCTTATGTTTAGTGACAATAACAAGTTTATTTATGAGACAATCAATCTAGCTGACTGTGATCCATTTATGGTAAGTTTTTTTTAAATCAAAGTATTATTGCGAATTGATGTAACCTATCAAACAGGTTTCGGTTAAGTCAAATTTGAGAGAATAATTGGATACTTAAAGTGTACAGGGTGTCCCATTTTCGTGTGTTTTAGGGATTTTCTTGTTTATGAGTAGCGAGAGACAATTCAAATGTGCCGTTTTCACATAATTTTTTTTTAAATTTTACTCAAAAGTTAAATAATGCATTTTTACCTTCTTTATGAAAATAAATATATGTAGAGCATATTATATTTTTAGAAAGTTTATAACAAGGCAAATAAAATAAAAAAAAAACAATAATATACAGGGTATCCTTTTTTTTAAAGAAACAACTTGTAAAAAAACAACTGTTAAAAAAACAAAAGTTTGGCCAGTTTGGTTTGGTTTGGAAAGTTTCAGGAAAGACATCTCCCAGAAAAAAAACTAGTTATGCCAGTGATTACTACGTGAAAAGGTCTATGGGACGCAATTTTCATCTTTTCTATAAGTTATGAGACAACCCAGATAGGAGGGAGATAGGATCTCCTTTTTCGAGGCAACAATTTCAAATTCACCCTGTATTTCAGGAACTAAAAGGACTACGACAAATCTGTGTATAGCATTTTTAGTTTCATAAAAATGTAGCATAGTAATATGAAAACCGCATTCTTGTACCTTTGCTCATTAACGAGAGACTCTGTAAAACACACAAAAATGATGACACCCTGTATTATTCATATTTTTTCAGATTGCTCAAAGTACAATAATATATTTCCCACCAAGTACCCTACCCAACGAATCTTTGATAAACTCATGGTTAAGATCTTGTACGTCTGAGTGGTTTCTGGATCATAAACCTCACATCGAAGCTTTACTTAAATGGTTTATTCCTCCATGTCTGGAATACCTCAAAACACTAGTAGTTGAAACAAGCTGGCCTGTTGACACAAACACCTTGGTAACTAACACTTTGACTTACTTTCAAATTATTTTAGACGATGCCACTTCAAAGGTAAACAAAAAAGAAGAAGATCCTAAAAATATGCCCACCTGGATCCACGCGACATTTCTTCAAGCAGGTGTTATAGGTTTTTCCAGTTTTTTAGATAACGGTCTTCAACAGAAATTTGATGAATTCTTTAAAATACTTTGGAGAGGTCAAAATGGTGACTGTCCCTATCCCGAGGGTATAGAACGTTTAGAGGTTAGTGTACCTCATGACGCCGTGTTGTTGGAATACTGTTACTTGTACAAACAAAGAGGTACATGGAAACTATGGTCGGACTTACTAAAAAATGAGAAAATTGTTCAAAGTCAGTACTTAAGCAAAGTTTTGGTACCTACAGTTGACAGTCTAAGATGCAACTTTTTTTTGGATCTTTACATCAAATACAACAAACGTCTTTTTATTCTGGGATCCAGAAGTACCGGAAAATCCACCATTATCAGGGATTGTTACGAAAGGAAACTCAACGAGGATGAATATGAGAAGTGTATAATCACCTTTGATAGAATGATGAATGCCAGATCTCTACAAACGTTGATGTTGTCCAAGTTAAATAAAAGAAAACAAGGATATTACACTCCAAGTACAAAAAAGAAATCCATATTCTTTCTTGAAGATCTTAACATGACTATTAATGATAAATATGGTGTTGGCGATGTTACAGAACTTTTAAGACAGCATTTTGATCACAACTCCTGGTTTGATTTAAAAAATTTCGATAAAATTTCTATTAAAGACGTTAATTTTATAGGTTCTTCCAGCATATCTTCTGGAAATGCCGTATCCAAAAGATTTCTTAGACATTTTAATTTGTTTGGTATCAATAAAATATCTGGTGAAACTATTTCAAAGATATATTCACAGAGTCTATTAAATACCTGGAAAAAATCTGGATTTCCTAGTGATATAGTTGTTGCTGTTAATCAAATCATTTCCGCTACTTTGGCGATATATAATTTGATACAGAACAATTTAAAGCCAACATTGAATAGATGTCATTACATTTTTGATTTGGAGAGTATCTCTAAAGTAATAGAAGGTTGTAGTCTTCTTAAAAAAGAATCATTTGATGCTAATAAGAAGATATATGTAAAATTATGGATTCACGAGATGACTCGAGTTTATTCAGATAGGTTTGACGCAAAAGACAGGGATTGGTTTCTGGAAAAATTAAAGGAAACTGCCGAGGAACATTTTGCAGAAAACTTGGAGGAGGCTTTTGGAAATTCTGAAGAACCTATAACATTTTCCAAATTGTTTTTTGGAACTTTCCACGACAGATGTGTTAATACAGAGTCACGTCGTTATGACGAATTAAATTTTGAACAATTTGTAGATACATGCAACCAGACTATAACAGAATACAATAAAAGTCATAGATTTAAGCTGGACATAATATTTTTTGATTATGCTTTGGAAAAACTGGCAAGGATTGGAAGAATTTTATCTTTATCTAGAGAAAATGCTTTATTCCTTGGCAGAACAGGATATGGAAGGCAATCTCTGACAAAATTAGTGTCTTACATGTACAAACACGAATTCTGTCAGCCTATTTTGACAGGCGATTATAACATAACTTCCTGGTTAGGGGATTTTAAAAATATTTTCAAGACTTGCGGAGGTTTGAATAAAAAAATCGTTTTATTCATCAATGAAGAACTTATTCTAAACGATAGCTTTCTGGAAATCATAGATTATTATTTAAGAGAAGGATCTGTGATTGATTTATTCACATTAGCGGAACAGCATGAAATTTTGGAGTTGGCCAGATTATCTGCTCAAGGAGGAAACAGGAATTTGGACATAACACCCCACAGAGTGTTCATGTATTTCGAAAAAACCTGCAGGGAAAATCTGCATTTGATTTTGAGTTTGAATTTTGATAACGGATTGCTCAGGAGGAGGCTTTGCAAATATCCAGCATTGGTGACAAAATGTACTGTCATACGTTGGAAAGATTGGCCAGACGAAGCTCTGAAATCTGTAGCTCTGTCTTGGATAAAGGATGTTAATCTTACAGATAATATTAAAGCTCAGGCAATTAATTCAGCAATACATTTTCACAGAACTGCCCAGGAAGTTCGTGATCTTCTGGGCTTTACCACACCGAAAGCTTATGTTCACATGGTTCAACTTTTTTCCAGTTTAATATCAACCAAACAGCTAAAACTCAAGACCAAGAAAGATAGATATATTCAAGGTTTAGAAAAGCTATCTTACGCAGCAAACCAAATTCTTCTTATGCAGAAATCACTGGCTGAATACCAACCTCAACTTGAGTTGATGACGAAGAATGCTAAAGGCATGACCGAAGAAATTGCTTTAGAGACTATCGAAGTAGAAAAAGCTTCGGCTCTGGTAAGGAAAGATGAAAAAATCGCCAGTGAACAAGCGATTATAGCTCAGGTTTTGAAGTCTGAATGCGAGTCAGAATTGGCTCAGGCAATCCCAATTTTAGAAGACGCAATTTCTGCTTTGAATACACTAAAACCTTCTGATATAACTCTGGTAAAATCCATGAAAAACCCTCCAGATGCCATTAAATTAGTTATGGCATCGGTATGCGTGATTAAAGACGTCAAACCTGACAGAATTCCTGATGCAAGTACAGGAAGAAAGCATATAGACTACTGGGGACCATCCAAAAGAATTCTAGGAGACATGAATTTTCTTCAAACTCTCAAAGACTTTGATAAAGACCATATTAAGCCGGAGATTATGGTAAAAATTCGAAAAGATTATCTTCCTCATAAGGATTTTAAACCTCACGTTGTAGCTAAGGCTTCCAGTGCAGCTGAAGGCTTGTGTAAATGGATCATAGCGATGGATATGTATGATAAGGTCGCCAAGGAAGTAGCTCCAAAGAAGGAAAAACTAAATAAGGCAGAAAAAGAGTACGCTGAAACTATGATAGTATTGAACGAGAAAAAGGAGGAAGTTGTCAGGATTGAAGAAAAACTTGCTGCTTTGAATAAATTGCTGAAAGAAGCTACGAAGAAACAAACTAAGCTTCAAGCTGAAGTGAATGTATGTAGTAAGAAGCTAGGTAGTGCTCAGAAACTAATTGGAGGGCTAAGTGAAGAGAATTTAAGATGGTCCAAAGCTACACAAGACTTACAAAAACACTTTGATGTGCTTGCTGGTGACATAATGCTGTCCAGTGCTGTTGTAGCTTATCTTGCATCATTAAATAACTCTCTTAGACCAACGATTATATCAAAATGGAGACAATATATAGAAGAAAGCGAAGTACCAAGTTCCAAAACTTTTAACTTCTCTCTGGTTTTGTCCAATACTGTCGAAATCGAAAGCTGGAAAGAGTATGGATTACCTCTCGATGACTTTTTTGTCGAAAATGCCATAATTTATAACCATTCTAAGAAGTTTTGTGTTTTCTTAGATCCACAAGCTCAGGCTTGTAACTGGATACAACGTACTGAAAATGGAAATAACTTGACAGTGTCCAAATTTAGTTTTGGAAACTGGATGGACCATATTAAAATCTGCGTGAAGTATGGAAAACCAATTTTAATCAAAGATACTAATGGGTATATTCCACCTTGCTTGAATTACTTGTTGTATGGAGAAACTTTTATACAAAACAATGATCTATATACAATTTTAGATAAACAAGATACGAAAATCGATAGGAACTTTAGACTGTATATCGTTTGTACCAAACCAAATCCATCCTACAGCTTAGATTTCAAAAGCAGACTTACCATCATCAATTTCCAGTTAACAAGAAAGTCTTTGGAAGAAGGACTTTTGAAAGTTGTCGTTGAAATTGAAAGACCGGAAATCAAAAAGTTATCTAAAGAACTTGTTTGGAAAAACAGAGAAAACAAGGCAGAATTGAAAGAGATTGAAGTAAAGATTCTAGATACTCTTTGTGAAAGTCAGGCTGATATTCTGGAGGATGAAGCAAGTATATCTGTGCTGGATAATTTCAAAGACTTAGCAAAAAATGTACGTGTTAAACAAGAAGAAACCAAAAAGATTGATGAGATAATTCAGGATTTT